CCTGATTCATGAACGAGAATCACTTAGCTATTACTGGTTCATCCTGAATATAATAACTAATTTAAATTCAGACCTAATAATTAATGAAAAATGCAACGAAACAGATTTTGTGCTCTTTGTACAAATACTATCCATGTATCCTCATTAAATAAAATTGGGGAAATTTGGGAGTCTGGGGAGCTTTATAAAATTTTCTACTATTTGCTAGTTTAGTAACCTTGAGAAAGTTACTTAAACTCTCTAAGATTCAGTTACTGCGTGATCGAGTGGGGATAATAATGGTACCTACTGACTGTCGTGGCGTTGGAGGATCAGCATGGAGGGTGGCACAGAGCAAGCACTGATGTGGTTGCCGTTGCTATTATTACTTACTATTATTATTTCTGTACTTTTATGTAAAGCCTCCCCTGCCTTGTTGGAAGTAGGCAGGAATATAAACAAACAAATAATCCAAATGTACAGATTTCAAGTGAATGTGATTTTAAAAATATGGTTCTTTTTCTACTTTCTAGAAAATTCTTTTTTTTTTTTTAAGATTTTATTTATTTATTTGACAGAGAGAGACACAGCAAGAGAGGGAACACAAACAGGGGGAGTGGGAGAGGGAGAAGCAGGCTTCCCGCGGAGCAGGGAGCCCGATGCGGGGCTCGATCCCAGGACCCTGGGATCATGACCTGAGCCGAAGGCAGATGCTTAACCGACTGAGCCACCCAGGCGCCCCTCTAGAAAATTCTTAAACACACAAAAATGAACCTCCAGATAGCCATCACCCAGCTTAAACAACCATCAACATTTCACCAGTTTTGTTTTCTTTATCCCCAACGTTATTTTTCTGGAATATTTTAGAGCAAGGAAATTATGTCACTCTACCCATAAATACTTCAGTAGGCAACTCTAACTGTAGGATTGTTTTAAAAACATACTCACCACGCAAAACTAAAAATAAATTCTTAAGATTATCGAATACCCTATTTAAATTTCCGTATTTGTTTCAGAAATGTTTTACAGTGGTTACCAGGGGCTGGGGGCAGAGGCAGCAGGGAATTGTCTGTCAAAGGCCGCCAAGTTTCAAATGCTCAGGATGGATAAGTTCTGGAGATCTCATATATAGCAGGATGGCTACAGTTTAACAACGCTGTACTGTGTACTTGAGATTTGTTAGGAGAGTAGATCTTTTTTTAAAATATTTTCCCCCCAGGAGAGATGTTCATTGTTCTTACTAAAAAAAGAAAAAAATTAACTATGGGAGGTGAGAAAGATGTTGATTAGCTTGATTGTGGTGAACATTTCATGATGTATACATCTGTACAAGGTGTCACCTTGTACACCTTAAATATATGCAATTTTTATTTGTCAGTTATACCTCAATCAAGCTGGGGAGGAAAGAAATGTCATTTTCCAGCTGATTTGTTCAAATCAGGATCCAAACAAGGTCTGCACAATGCCTGTTTGTTGTGTCTCTTAAGACTTTATAATTCACTTTTTGCATGCCATTGATTTGTTAGAGAAATCAAGGTATTTGTCCTTTCTGATTTGGCTGTTTGCTTTATTGTGGTTTATTTGACTTCCCTGTCCCCTGTATTTCTTGTAATTTGGTTTCAGATCTTAGACACTTGATTAGATTCAGGTTAAATTTTTTTCTTTAGCCAAAAATACATCACAGATGACAGCGTATACTTCCTGGTACGTAATGTCTGGGTATCCCAAATTTAGTAGAGCTAAGATTGGTCAGTAGCCTCAGATGGTGTCAACCGGACACTTCATTACAAAGTTCCTTACCAATCTTTCACCTCCATTGATTTTAGCCTCCATTGATGATTGTTGCTTAGCTCTATTATTGCATAATAGTGATTTTTCTACCTTTATCATTTCTTCTTCATTTATTAGCTGGAGTTCTTCCATAAGGAAGAATTTCCCCCTCATTAATTATCTGATAACCCTGGAAAAACAATTTGTATATAAAAGATAAGATATACGTGATTTTTCCCCTTTATTTATCAATATTCAGAGTCATGAACTGGTACACCAAGAAACCGCCAAGTGGCAATTTTGTTTAGATAAATTTATGGATTTTGTGTATTTCATCTGTTTCAATCCATTGCAGTTATTATTCTTTTTGATACTCACATTGTCCCATCTTGAGCCAAATGGGAGTCCCTTCAAGTTGGCTCCTATGTCCTTTTGACATGACTCCCATTGACGTAAGATGAGCCTGGAACATCTTTCTCTTTTTTTTTTAAGTTTTTATTTAAGTTCCAGTTAGTTAACATACAGTGTAATATTAGTTTCAGGTGTACAATATAGTGATTCAGCACTTCCATACATCACCCAGTGCTCATCACAAATGCACTCCTTAATCCCTATCACCCGTTTAACCCAACCCTCCACCCACCTGTCTTCTGGTGACCATCAGTTTGAGGATATCTTTCTTGATAACTTCTTAGATTTCATGTTCTATATATCCAGCCACCATTTCTCCATGGATCCTTGGTTCTTTTTAATGGAAAATGGTATTTAGAGATCACAAACTGAGTACTAGGGTTGCTTATTACTATTGAGTCATCATTGTTTCTAGGTCTTTTGGCTGACAGAGCTTTTTTTAAGGGAAAAAATCATAAGTTCATATCAATATTTCCAAATCAAACTTAAGATAACATGATTTTGGGGTGCCTGGCTAGCTTGGTCAGTAAAGCATGTGACTCTGAATCTCGGGGTTGTGAGTTCAAGCTCCACATCGAGTATAGAGATTACTTAAAAAGAAAAAAATGACATGATTTCTACTTGATTTGTTTGATTTGATATTTATGTCTATTTTTTCTTATGCTGAAAAGTTTAGCTCTGATGACATTATCATAATTATTTATGTTTAATCCTAAAATACACCAATAACAGTTTCAAAGTAATAGTAGCAATATTAGTAAAATTACTGACTACAATTTATTTCTCCTCATTTCTTTGCCACAAAAAACACACAAAAGCATTTTGCTTTCTCCACCTAACAATATATTTTGATGATCACTGCCTGTCATTTTATATAGTTCTCTCTTTTTTTATAGCTGCCTACAACTCCATTGTGTAGATGTTTATTTTTAATGTTTCTGACAAACTTTACATTATTCTTCATATTATTGTCTGTTGAATGCTTGTGATAATCTACATATTCTAGGACAGTTATAATTAAACTATAATTCCTAATAATCTGGCTAAATTTAGACAGAATGCAAATATTGGGGAAAAATGCAAATTCTCAACTAAACATAGTAGTTTGAATTCCCAGTGAGTAAGAAAGGAAAAAGGACTCCAAAAATGTAGGGTGGAAGAATCTAGTCTGAAATAGTCTATAACCTGTAATTTTACTGCTAGTTAGAAAATGGTTATGATTTGTCTTAACACAGATTCCCTGGAAACAGAGCCTGATACAAAAGCTTACATGCTAACACTTAATAATTTTGAGGGTGAGGAGTCACGTGCAATCCCAGGGAAGTAGAAGCAAGGGGAAAGGGAAGTAAAGCAGAGAAGGAGGGAGAGCAAGTGCATGGAGTATGTTTCTGATCTGGCCTCACCTCCCCAACAGCCATGGTTGGTATCAAAATGGTGGACTGCACTCCGTGGGACTTCCTCATTTCTTGATTGTGTTACCTGTCCCTGGCAGGCTGGTGGCCAGGCATGAGGGTCTCTCCTTATCAGTTACTCTATGTGTGGGGGCTCTTTGGTGATGGGGGAGGTAGCAGTAACAGTGGTCACACTTCAAGACAGTGTAGCGGGGGCACCTGGGTGGCTCAGTCGTTAAGCATCTGCCTTCGGCTCAGGTCATGATCCCAGGGTCCTGGGATCGAGCCCCACATCAGGCTCCCTGCTCCGCGGGAAGCCTGCTTCTCCCTCTCCCATTCCCCCTGCTTGTGTTCTCTCTCTTGCTGTGTCTCTCTCTGTGAAATGGATAAATAAAATCTTAAAAAAAAAAAAAAAAAGAAGGGACGCCTGGGTGGCTCAGTCGGTTAAGCGTCTGCCTTCGGCTCAGGTCATGATCTCAGGGTCCTGGGATCGAGCCCCACATCCGGCTTCCTGCTCAGTGGGATGTCTGCTTTGCCTTCTGCCTGCCCCTCCCCATGCTTGTGCTCTCTCACTCTCTCTGTCAAATAAATAAAATCTTGAAAAAAATTGTCTCTAATTTAAGTGAATCTTTAAATTGGCCTGTTTTACATCTCTTATGGCAATTTTGAAACAAAACTTCCATACATGTTCATCATTAAATTCTCTGAAAGGGCTTTTTTTTAACTACTGAGGTTCAGATATCAAACACACATAAATATTGTTGTAGTAATTGACATGATTAATTTTTTCCCTTAATGATGCTGATATCGTGTGTGTGTGTGTTTTACATTCTGTCTCACTCTGATTAGTACGTTATAGTGGCCATAATATTAGGAGTGTATGAGAGAAAAAGTTCTGCGCAAAGACTACAAAGTAGCTCAAGCTAGTTCCTTGACATGTCATGCTTAAAACGGTAACCATTAATTACATTTATGTGGCAGGAAGGGACGGGGGAGTGGGAAGAAGAGAGGGAGAGAAGAAGATATTTCAGGCAAACTCTCCTCTCCTCACCATTGGGTAACATCATTACCTGCATGGTAAAAACAACACTGGTGCTCACTAGATCGTTTTTGAATCAATGAATGAATGACTACCCCTCTGGGACTATTAGATACCGTACACTATTGCTTGAAGGCATCTTCCTATTCTATGATTCTGTGGTTTCTTTACTAAAAGTTGGCTAGCTTGCAAATTTATTTTAAAGTCTGAGAAGCAAAATGCTTCCAGATGAAAGGCAGGGAGAAAATACTCCTCAAGCCGTCCACTTTAGCGCCTGGGAAGCCTAATAAATATCATGATCATTTACACACGGATAAGCAATGGAAATTCATCAAAGCTGTGTAAAGTAAGAGCACTAACTTGCGTCTGGAAGAAGAACTTTGTGCCAAAATTGATTCCAGCCAAAATCAGCTGTCCTGTTTTCAGTTGTGCACAGAAGAAAGCAGGCGGCCACCTTTCTGATGTGATTTCTCGCACCGATCAGGAAAAACTGCTGAAGTCACGAGGCTGCTCCACTCAGAGCCCTCATGTGAGTCATACGAAAGCTCTAGCCCTGCTGACCTCTGGCAGAAAGGTTGCGAACGAGGACAGGAGAGGCAGAGGGGAGAGGTTCAAGTGCGGGTTTTCTCCTTGAACCTAGAAGATTATGGGTCAAGAGCTGTGTACGAAGACTCTCCAGCCTGGATGGCGCTGCCATCGCTGTTGGGAGGGAGACGATGCACACAGCTGCCAGAGGACAGTGCCTGAGCCCGAGCCGGCGGAGGCTGCGACCGAGGTATTTGTCTCGCAGGAGGAACATCTTCCTCTGTTGATAAACTAAGGAGTTCAGAGACTCCCTTTCTGAAGCAGGGTCGGATTTTTCTGCGGTAGGTCTAAACCAATAAAAGGAAAATCCTATTAAAGTCACAGAGAATTTATGGCTGTTGTTATCAAATTTGTGGATGTTCTTGTAAACCAAAAGGGAAAAACAATCGTGTGCTTTGGGCTGCACAACACTCAGTTGACTTAAAGTTGAGAAAGTAGTTATTCTCTTGTAATCTCCGAAGTCCTAAATGACAGAGCTGAGCCTCACGAAAGCAAGCTGCAGTATTGGTATGCTATGGATTCAAAATCTTGATGATTAGCTTGTGATTGTTAGCAATGACATATGAGAAAATCATTCCCCAAAAAAGATAAATTAAGAGGACATGAGGAAAAAAAAAAAAAGGCTGAGTTAAACAGAGAAAAATTGGAAACCATCCATCAAAGAGATTTAGGCTAACCGAAGTGTTTAGGACATATTTTTAAGTGAAGAAAGAATGTAGATTTTCTGCAGTTGATATCATCATGTCTTTTTTAAGGATATGGCTTTCAGGAAAGGACTTGCTTTTTGGGGTGTAGGAGGCTTAGAAAACATCTGAAGAGTGACAATCAGACAAATGAAGAAAAAATAGTTTCTGCCAGCCACTGAGTCTTGACTTTGCATATATTTTATTCCTGTACTTTCCTTTTTCTCTAGCTGGCAGACCTAAAAGAAGCATCATGTTCCATGACTTCATTTCACCCCAGGGGACTTCAGGCTGTCCGTGCCCAGAAGTTCAAGAGTAAAAGGCCACAGAGTAACAGTGATTCTTTTCAGGAAGAAGATCTGAGGCAGGGTTTTCAGTGGGTGAGTGAACATCTGATGTGGGTGAAGAAAAATTTAATATGTGCTTGTCTAGGGAGGTTGGCCCTCCCTTCTAGGGCAGTTATGGAGAGGGCCTTTCCAAGTATACTCTGGCAATGCTGTCTAATTTCTCTGGGGGGAAAAAGTCAACCTTAAAAAAAAAGTGCTCTTTCTTTCTCTCCCACCTCTCACCCCTCCCCATTCTGCTCAAGCAGAGGAAGAGCCTCCCTTTTGGGGCAGCCTCATCTTACTTGAACTTGGAGAAGCTGGGTGAAGGTTCTTATGCTACAGTTTACAAGGGGATTAGCAGGTGAGTGACTCATAACTGGGAGAGATTCTGCAGATGAGGATCTCACTCCTCTGATTCGAAATTATAGAGCTGGGGGACACAGGGCAGAAGTTCGTGACCAGTGCAAGACACCATAGTCAACAGGGAGAGACGCGATGATTTAAAGAGCCTTGCAAGAAAAACGAACTTCTCTTGCCCTGATTAAAATCAGCCCACTGAAATGTTTATCAGCTTTTCCTCTCTTTTATTCAATTCGAAGTAGAATCTTTCTACTACGAACCCAAGGAACAAGTACTGCTGTTCACAAGTGCAGTCTCTAAAGGGTTTTTCATATCTCTCCCTAAAACACGACGACAGAGGTTTGCAATGACAAACTTGAGTTTGCTCCTTCATTCTTGTTTTACCTTCTTAGAGGAAACTGAAGTTGGTTTCTACAAAGCATGATATATGCAAAAAATGATTAGCCCTGGGGTTTGTATACTTGAAAAATATACAAAATGGCTGGAGAATAAAAATAATGCTAATCCAGAAGGCAAGGGCCCATTTTGGCTAATGAAGTTGTTAAACAAATATGAATTTCATTGCTTTAGTCAAGATGGGACAGTTGGAGGTTTGATTTCTTTAATTTATGTTACTCCAGTGGAGAAAAATAATGGCTCAACAGTGGTTAAGTGTTCATTTTAAAAATGTAATATAAATACTGCAAGACTATTTATTATTTATCCTAGTAATCGTGTTATTATTTTTACATGGTGAAACAGGATTTTAGGGAACTATCATTTTAAATATATTATTTAATTGAATTCCACAAACTATCTTAGGAACTAAGAATATAAAATATTTCCTTCAAAGGACTCACCTGAGTAATAGGGTAAAAAATACATTAGAAATATTTGTTTAGGGGTGCCTGGGTGGCTCAGTCAGTTAAGCGTCTGCCTTCAGCTCAGGTCATGATCTTAGGGTCCTGGGATCGAGCCCCCTGTTGGGCTCTTTGCTCAGCGGGGAGTCTGCTTCTCCCTCTCACTCTCCCTCTGCCCTCTCCCTCTCTCTCTCTCTCAAATAAATAAACAAAATCTTAAAAACAAAAAAGAAATACTTGTTTAAGTGCATAGAAATGTATGTACAAGTATATTCATTGCAGCAAGATTTGTAATAGAGAAAGTAAAAACCTGGTCACCTCACTAATGGAGGACTGGCTAAATAATCACCATGCAGTGAAATAGTGTGCAGCCATCTAAAGTAAGAGGTAGACGTACTGATATGAAAAGATGTCCACTATTTTAAAAGACAAAAGCAAGTTTAGAATAATATATACCCTATATTCTCATTGAAAAAAAATTCCGATGTACCATGCATGTGTAAGTTTATATATGCATAGAGGAGTCTGGAAAAATGCACAAGATTATGAAAAATAGTTATTTCTAGTGGTTGAAACTGTGGTGGGGAAAGAGAGATTACTCAAACTCTTTACTTTATTCCTTACCACAAAGGCATTACATTTATCATTTAAAAATAAGTTTAAAAATGTCACAGAGATAGATGCCAAATAAATTCAACATCAGTTACTAGTTTTTAAAAACTCTGAGCAAAATAGGAATAGAATGATAATTCCTCATGATGTAGAATATTTCAAATCATCAATTCACATACTTTTTTTGTTAAATACTAGAGACATCCCGTTAAGTTAGAGATAGGGTGAGAATGCTCATTATCCTTTACTGTTAAAGATTATCATAAAAATTCTAGTCAATGCAATGACAAAAAAAGACTGATATAATTTTTGTGGATTACAGAATTGCCTCCTCTGAGGGAGGGAAGGGAATCATCTAAGAAACCAGTAGAAGCAGTAAGCTAGAACAGTAAGGTGATCAGTTACAACATTAAAATACACTTATCAAAAGTCATTTTATGTATTAGCAATAACCATTTAATAGAAAATATAGTAAGGGAAGTGACTCTTACAATATCAACAACAAAAATCATTAGTATCAAAAAATGGGCAAAGATTTACTAAGGGACATTAGACCTGAGAAATAGCCAGATGGGCATTCATTCATTCTACTAATATTTATTAAGCACCTACTATGTGCCAGGCACTATTTCAGCCAATAAAGAGTCACTGGAGAACAAAGGAGACAAAATTCTCTACTCTTATGGAGTGTACATACTAGTAAGGGTAAGATAGGCAATAAACAAATTAATGAAAGACTGATTCTGTCAAAGAGTGAAAAAGTGCTTGGGAAAAAAATAAAACAGGGGCACCTTGGTGGCTCAGTCGTTAAGCGTCTGCCTTCGGCTCGGGTCATGGTCCCAGTGTCCTGGGATCGAGTCCCCACATCGGGCTCCCTGCTCAGCGGGAAGCCTGCTTCTCCCTCTCCCACTCCTCCTGCTTGTGTTCCCTCTCTGACTGTGTCTCTCTCTGTCAAATAAATAAATAAAATCTTAAGAATAAATCAATAAATAGGGCACCTGGGTGGCTCAGATGGTTAAGCGTCTGCCTTCGGCTCAGGTCATGATCCCAGGGTCCTGGGATCGAGTCCCGCGTCGGGCTCCCTGCTCCTTGGGAGCCTGCTTCTCCCTCTGCCTCTCTCTCTCTCTCTGTGTCTCTCATGAATAAATAAATAAAATCTTTAATTTTTTTTTAAAGATTTTATTTATTTATTTCAGAGAGAGAGAATGAGAGAGAGCACATGAGAGGGGGAGGGTCAGAGGGAGAAGCAGACCCCCCGCCGAGCAGGGAGCCCGATGCGGGACTCGATCCAGGGACTCCGGGATCATGACCTGAGCCGAAGGCAGTCGCTCAACCAACTGAGCCACCCAGGCGCCCTAAATAAAATCTTAAAAAAAAAAAAAAAAAAAAGAATAAATCAATAAATAAACCAGTGAAGTGGGATAAGAGCGCCAGGGTGGGGTGGTAGGACTATTTTAAATAGCGTGCTGAGAAGGGAACACTTGAACAGACTCTGACAAAGGTGAGGCGCGAGCCCTGTGCGTGAGCGGTGGGAGAGAGCCTCCTGCAGAGGGAGTAGCAAGTAACAACTCCCTGAGGCAAGACTAGGCCGGACATTGGAGGGGAGGGGAGAAGAGCTGCAGTTGCAGTAGATTAGGTGTCTAAGGTCTGGTGGATTATTCCAGAGACCATTGTAAGTACAGAATATTTGGGTTAGAAAATCTCATAGTGCAAAGATGTCAATGATTCTTTAATTTCAAGTTTTAATATATCATAAATGTGTTGAAAAGCTACAATACTAGTGTAGTATAAGGAAAGTGTAGTATAAGAAAAAATCAGATCAAGGAAATAGTGTAATATAAGAAATAGTGTAGTATAGAAATAGTGTAGTGTAGCATAGTACAAGAAAAGACAGATCAAAGAAATATGATTTTTTTAAGTCCAGAATAGTCACAAACCCAAGTATTAGTAAGATCTAATATATATATAATCATGGTAACCTGTCATATCATCAGGGAAAAGAAGATAGTCCAATAATGAAGCTGGGATGATCATTAGCAACTTGGAAAAAGTAAATACACAATATGAATTCCTAGTAGATTAAAGAGGTAAATGAAAAAGAAAAGATAAGAACTAGAAGAATAGGGACGCCTGGGTGGCTCAGTCGTTAAGCGTCTGCCTTCCGCTCAGGTCATGATCCCATGGTCCTGGGATCGAGCCCCGCATCGGGCTCCTTGCTCAGTGAGGAGCCTGCTTCTCCCTCTCCCTCTGCTGCTCCCCCTGCTTGTGCTCTCTCTCTGACAAATAAATAAATAAAAATCTTAAAAAAAAAAAAAAAAGAACTGGAAGAATAGGTAAAGGAATTCTATCTAACCTTTGGGCTGGAAAGGTTTGTCTATACATAATACTGAAGTCAGAACCCTTAGGAGAAGATTAGAAGCATCCATGGTGCCCCATCTACACATGTATGTTCTAAGGAGCCCTAGTTCTGAGAGATCTTACTAGATGTTCATTGAAACACTTACCATTGTCAAATCATTGCAGGGAACCCTAAAACAAAAGTAAAAATGTGATTCTTTATTATAAGTGCTCTCAGCATCTTTAAAATGTTAATGTATACCATGACTGTCTAAGAAAGATAAAGAAAATTTTTAAAGCATAAAGCATTTTCTAAACATATTTGACCAAAAAACTGTTTTGGGGATGAGGAGAATGTCACAGAGGTATGCTCTGAGTAAAACATTTTGGAAAATACTGAACTTCATAAAAATTTTAAAGTTCAAAATTTTAAAGACATGTGAAAGTAGACAAAATAAATTGGTAAAAAGTATACACAAAACATTTCAATGAAAAGGTGGGCAAGTAGGCAAATCACAAAAGAACAGAAAAGACCAAAAAACTTAACAAAATTCAGGTCCACAATTAGTTAAAGAAATAGAAATTAAAATATGATAATCCTTTTTAGGCAAATTAAATAGGCAAAAAAAAAATCCTTTTTTTTGCAAATTAAATAGGCAAAAAACAAACCCCATATTTATGGGGCTATGTCAAAGGGACACAGGAGCCAATTGAAAGGGCTCACAAAGGATAAAGTTGGAAAATTTGAGTAACAAAATAAACTAATGTTGAATTATAACCCAAAGTGTAAAATAAATATCTATGAGTCTACACTGCTATGAATAAATGGCTCAGTAAATTAATAAATGAGAGAGAAGAGACAAATTTCCTGTGCAAAAGAATTTCAAATAATTTATGTAAATAACTGAAGAGGGTGGAGCATAAATCCCCACACCTTAAGTGTGGGTTACTCATGGTAACATTCTTCCAAAAGTACACTGTGGAAAGGGAGTAGGGGAAGAATAATCACAGTGAATAAACCTGACAGACACTACCTCAGCTGGTGAGTAAGGCCAATATCAAAAGTCGTAAATTCTGACAATAGTCTGTACCCTTAATATGATGTGATGAAATGGCACTTTACCTTCTCAAAAACCATAACCGCAGTCTAATCATAAAAAAAAAATTAGAAATGTTCCCATAGAGAGGTATCCTACAAAATTCTTTACCAGTATTCCTCAAAAACTGTCAAGGTCATCAAAAACAAGGAAAGTCTGGGACGCTGTCCTAGCCAAGAGGAGCCTAAAGAGACATGACAACTATATGTAATGTGGTATCTTCGATGGGATCCTGAAACGGAGAAAGGACATTAGGTAAAAACTCAAGAAATCCTGATAATATATAAATGTATCAAAGCGACACATTGTACACCTTTAACCTCCAAATGCTGTATGTCGATTACATCTCAATTTCAAAAAAAAAAAGACCAAGATAAATAGATTTCTTAAATGTATACATATCTACTGTGATATCTACTTTAAAAGAGATAAAAAGAAAGCATTTTGAAATCAAATTGGAAAACCATAACAAACTTATAAATGCTGTAGAAAAGGAAAAAAAAGGAATGTGTAACAGCAAATACATTTTTTAAACTTAAAAATCCTCTATAATCCATCACTCTAGCACAGCGATTGCACATTCACACAAATTATTTAAAGTTACAAACATGGTATGCTTGCTATTTTGTATTCTATTGTTCATTTTATCATGAATATTTTCTAATTTCTACATGTCTCTGGATTTAAGCTTTTGTCATGAATTCAAAGTATTCTATCATATTGATGTACCACACATTTTTAAATTGTTCTAATGTTGATCATTTCAGCTATTTCTACTTTGTTCTATTATAACATAGTAGAGAATATCTTACATGCATTTGGAATTTTAAAAATCATTATTAAATAAGTCTATTGGGAAAAATTCCTGGGTCTGGTACTTTTATGGCTTTTCCTGTGTATTATCATGTTGCGCTACCCCCAAACTTTACCAATGTACAACGCAACCCATAATAAATAATACAATTTTACTGCAAAAAACTAAAGAATTCTCAATAAACTTTAAGCTTTAGTTAATAATAATGTATCCATATTGGTTCATTAATTATAACAAATGTATCATACTAATATATTAACAATGGAAGAAACTGGATGAGGGGTATATGAGAGCTCTCTGTACGATCTTCTCAATTTTTCTGTAAATCTAAAACTGCTCTAAAAAATGAAGAAACACAAGAAAACAAAAAGCCTGCCCAGTGTTGGCAAGAAAGTGCTGGAATGGCCAGTCAGTGGTGTGAACACTCTGTGGCATAATTTGGGAACATGCGTTCAAAACAATAAAAACTGGTGCACAGCATACCCTGACTTATCAATTCCAACTCTACCCTAAGAAAAGAATAGGGGCTCTGTGAAAAGATAGCGCGTAAACATGACCATGACTGTATTTTTATAATGGCCCAAAGAAACAATGTAAAAGCATTTGGAGGTGGCTAAGCATAAACACACTGTAGTATATTTATGTGATGAAATATTATCTCATTATTAAATATCACACAGTACAAGAATGAGTAAAAGAGGGAGGGCTGGGTGGCTCAGTTGTTAAGCATCTTCCTTCCGCTCAGGTCATGATCCCAGGGTCCTGGGATCGAGCCCCGCAACGGGCTCCCTGCTCAGCGGGAAGCCTGCTTCTCCCTCTCCCATGCCCCCTGCTTGTGTTCCCTCTCTCACTGTCTCTCTCTGTCAAATAAATAATTAAAATCTTAAAAAAAAAAAAAGAATGAATAAAAGAAAAATTAGATGGAGGAAAAGCAGGTTACTAATAACATGATATGAATCCCACTGTATTAAAAATAATGTATTTAGGGGTGCCTGGGTGGCTCAGTCAGTTGGGCTTCTGCCTTCGGCTCTGGTCATGATCCCAGGGTCCTGGGTTCCAGCCCCACAACAGGCTCCCTGCTCGATGGGGAGTCTGCTTCTCGCTCTCCTTCTGTGCTCTCTCTCGCTCTCTCTCAAATAAATAAATGAAATCTTTAAGAAAAATAATATATTTATCTTCGTATGAAAATCTCGGTTCTCCAGAACTTCACCTACATGGGTGAACAAAATGATGAATAAGGGGAGAGCAGGAGGAGATAAAGAGAGAGAGGTAATAGTAGGGCTGGGCAGATCAGGGGGCACCTAGGAGATGGTTGTAAGAATTTGGCTTTCATTCAGAGTGAAAGGTGAAGATAACAGTGGGTTTTGAGCAGAGAAGTGATTTGTTCTGACTTTCCCTTAGAAAGGGTGCCCTGGGCTACTCTGTTGAGAGAAGACAGTAGGGGAACAGACATGAGAGTAGGGAAACTGTTAGGAGGTCACGACAACAATTCAGATGGAAAATAAGGATGGCTTAAAGTGCACAAATGGAAATGAAAAGACAAGATACATCGAAATATTATGAGGCTGGATTTGGTGGGGGGAGGGGCAGGGTTCTGTGCTTTGCAGTGTTTTATCACTTTGGTAAAAAGAAAGAAAATATTTTGATATACATACATATGACTTTTTAAAACTGTTTATTTTGAGAACATTGTGGATTCATATGCTGGAATATATTTGGAAGGAAAAGCTGCTTTGGTTACACTTTGTTACACTGTCCTTAGTATAAACTGCTGCTATGAACTGCTGTGAACCATCTCAATAAATGTGTGCCCCCCCCCACCCCGACTCTTCTAGGATAAATGGACAACTAGTGGCTCTAAAAGTCATCAGCATGAATGCAGAGGAAGGAGTCCCATTTACAGCTATTCGGGAAGGTAAGAACCAAGAGATCTGTTTTACAAGCCCTCAATTTGGTAAAAAAATACATTGAGTCTATCCATTCGGCATCTGGCTTTTGATATTTCTAGAAGTAATATTATAATTGCAACTGTATTCTTCCTAACGGTTTTCAGAGTATATTTATACTATCATTTTATTATTTATTCTTGAGGAAATTAAGATTCAAAACTATTATATTAGTTGCCCAAGACTATGAACTCGATGTGTGTTCACTAAATGCCCTCTATGTGTTTGGTCCCATGCTAAAGTGCTAAGGCTACCCCAGACAAATCCATATAGAAGAGAAAAAATAACACACCCACACAAATTCTCAGTAAGTAATTTACCTGGAAATCATAAGTTGTTTAGATAGCATTTAAGGAACTCTTTGGGAAGGCATGACTTTTTAGTGTCGTCTCTGTATGTTCTCTGTACCCTGGGCACTATAGTAAGTAGGTGAGGCATCTGGCATCAGATGGACTCGGGTTTGAATCCTAAATCTACCAATTACTATGGTGTGACCGTGAGTAGACTAGGTTACCTGTTTTAGACCCCATTTATTGCAGAAAGAGGATCATAGTACCTCTTCTATTGAGTTGGTATGAGAATATGTATCTAAAGCACATATCGCATTTTCAGAGTTCAAAAAATATTGGCTATTATTATTCCATTCTTGTTTCTTTCCTTTAATGATGTCTTGTTCACTATCAGGATAACTAATAATTTATAGTATAAAAATCAAGAAGGGCGCACCTACCTGGGTGGCTCAGTCGGCTAAGCATCTGACTCTTGATTTTAGCTTGGGTCTTAATCTCAGGGTCTTTCATTCAAGCCCCACGTTTAAAAAAAAAAATCAAGAAGGCAATATAGTAAAAACAAATCATCAAAAATACAATTTATTAACCTTTTACATGAGCTGTTTAAAATAAAATGATAGGATTGCTATCCATTTTAGCAAAAACAAACAAACAAATGTCGCTTCCCTTTTTAACTACTTTATCTTCCCCTCTTTATGGAACACATACTATACGCACAGCATCTTGCTGGGCCTTGTTAAGGATGAGAAGAAAAAGCCCTGATCTTTGCTCTGTATTATCTTCAGTTTTAACAGAGCAGATGATTCAAGTTACAAGTGTTAAAATGGAGGTTAAAAAAAAAAAAAAAGATGCAAACTAAGATGAGAACCAGTGAGTCTCAGTGTGCCTAATGGAGTCAGTAGATTTTGAACCAAGCTTGGAAGGATGGGTTATGCAAAGAGGCATGGAAAAAGCAATTTAGAAAATGAGTTTATAACTGAATTTGATGCCATTTTCAAAAGTCTTTTACAGCCCCTGGGAAATATGTCATTTTGAATTTGAGTAGAGGGGCCAAATGGCTGTCAGGTTAGGTGGGGATTCATCCTGGTAGGATCAGGTGCATTCTGGAGGAAAGCAAGATTTTAAGTGTTTAATATAATGGAAGCTGCATTTACTAATGTACTTATTAGTGGTCCCCATGAACGTATGATCAGATTTAGAAAGAGATGTGTGGATAGGTTGAATAGTATTTCTGAACATAATAGAAATCCCCAGGTCACCAATATAATGGGAGAGTCTCTGGCCCAGCTTCACTGCATTTTCATGGTGTTGCCTTTGTGCATTCGAGTTTGCCTATTACTTCAGACCTGCCACGCTCAGATTTTTGCCCACAGCCAAGTTTTTCAGGTTGACATTTGACTTAGCAATGAAAAATTTTTGCCAGTTTTGCTAACAGATGGCTCTCAGCATGGTTCAGAAAAGCTGGATCTGTATTGTTCTGTATGGTAGATGTTTCTTTTATTGCATATTTACTGAGGAATTGCCTCTCCCTCCCAGGTGTTTGCAATTACATTCAGTATTCATCTGTGGACTTCCTGGGTTTGTTTTATGGACTTACCTTACGTGAACGCTTTGCTTGTATAATATTAAAAACCACAAGAGGATTTTTGACACACTGGAGGTTGTTAGGCATCCACTTTCCAACAACGAATGTTTCTTTTTCCATCACTGAAAAAGCTGGGAGCCCTCGTTAAAGAAGCCCTCTCCCCTCAAGAGGAGATGAGGCCTCATTTGAAAATTCTGGCACTGTCCCATTTTTCCTGTAAGAACTTTAAGGATGTGAGGCTAGGGAGACAGGAGGTTAAATGAGAAGGGATGGAAGGCAAAATAAGAACAGCTGGAGTTCATTAGTTAAAATCCAGGGTCACTAGCTAAAAAGGCAACCGAAAGCCACATGCAGAAACACTGAACAAGTAATGCAGATTTTTTTAAGAAAAGCCTTGAAGCAGGAATTACTTTTCCTGAACAGTTCGGCTGCTCTGATGGGATATCAGCCAAAGAATTACTGAGTAGGATTTTACCACATGGATGGTCTCTCTATATGTAAGTAGAATACATACGGTGGTTCATTAATCTGGTCATTTGGAGAACTATTTGATCTTAACATGTAATATGATGAAATTAGCAACAGTGGGAACAACACTAAGGGAAACGTATCTTAATATATGTGCCAGATACCTCTCATGTGTTACCTCTTTCAATCCTTTTAAGAACCTTTGGAGATAGATGCTATTATTATTCCAATGGATAGCCACGATTCAAACCAAATCTCTCCGATTCAAAAATCTGTACACTCTCTATGAATATTCTACAGATAGTCTACAAATATTTATTGAGCACCTACTATGGCTAGGCACTAGGATGGCTGCTGGATACATAGTAGTGCACAAAATAGACACGTTCCCTGCCCTCATTCCTTTGCTAATTAAAAAGATTAGCTGCCTTCATAACAACCTGAAAAAGATCTTCCCTAATTGGCTCTAGAATTATATTTTAACTGTTTAGTTTTACAACTAGGAGAAAATACTTTCATTTGAACAGGTGAATATTTTAAGCTTTTATATAAGAACACATTCCCTAGTTTTACAAAACTGTGTATCATTACCTTATCTTAATAACGTGCATCATTTTAAATATCTTTCAAAAAAAATAGACTTTTGGTTCAAACCCAGGACTTTCAGACCCTCAACATCATTTGTTTAGGAAGCAATCATATAATTAAATTGTTTTGAAGACTAGGCATATGACATAATCTTTTCTCCCCCTCCCCCCTCATTATCTTTTTTTTTTTTTTTAAACACATCAACTCTAGGAGGTAAAGCATGTTATTTTTGTTGTGCGGATGAAGGAACCTGAGCTTCAGGAGGTTAAGTAACTTGTCTGAGGCCTCAAAACTAGTAATCAGAATAGTTAGGTATTAGAATCCATTTTGCTCTCATCCTACTTTATTATGATAAATTTAGAAATCCATAACTCAAGCATTTCTCCTCTAGCAAAAGAAAAATAAAAATAGAAATCTGTTTTTATGATACATTTTGTATAAATGTTAAGCAAAATGCAGAAGAAATATTTTAAAGGAAATAATATTGTATGTTTGTCAGTTCTGATTCTATCCTGTACTTTATAGCACCAGTAATTGCAGTGTTTAAATTAGAAACAGTTTTAGCTGAGGATCTTTTAAGATCATTCTCTAATAGAAAACATTACAAAGTAATTATTCCCAGTCCATACACGAGAAAACTGAACCAAAAATAGACTAAGGAACCTCCCCAAGGTCATACAATGAGGTAGAGGATACGATAAGAACGCTGACTTGCCTGTTACTACAAATAGACTGCGGGAGGCCTGGTTGACAAGAAGTCCTCCATTGAATACAATCAAATCACATCACAGACATAGCATATTTTCATATGCATAGTTACATTTTTATAAAGCAAAATGATGTCAGGATGATGATATGGGATCAGATGACAATTGCAAAGAAATCAGATGACTACTCATCTAACATTTGTCTTAGCATTTAACATTATCTAGATTTCTTTTCTTGGAATGAATAACTTGACTCATTTACTTGATTTATGACACCCAGGCCAGAAGAAATGTAACATCAGGAACCACACTCTTTAATTCGATGTCCAGTGGTGGTTGGGGGTGGAAATTGACTCCATTATTAACTCCTACATAAACTCAATTACAACGGTTTGGTCTGCACTAATTTACAAGCACTTACTGAGCACCACATGCCAGGACTACGCTAGCTGCTAGAGATACAGAGACAGGGACGGGGACAGTCCAGACCTTCAAAAGCTTACAGCCAGCCAGCCATTCACTACATGGAGCTGTGCCGTAGGACTTTGAGTGCCAACCTTGCTCTTCCTTGTCATCGTCATCTTTTACATAAACTAAAACAGAAAACAGTAGAGTAACAATAAAACGTCATGACCCATTGCACTTGGAAAGCACCGGTTTTCCTAAAACTTTACTAAGCCAAAACCCTAGTGAAATTTAACAAAACCAAGAAACTAAATATTCTCATATCACTGCAAGATGAAAATAATTTTTAAAATTATTAAATATCTTACATATATGAGAATCAAACTAAATGCCATTTAATGTTCAACCAGTTGGTCCTACTATGTTTGGACATTTAAAATAAAGAAAGAAATACTTTGCATTTTTAAAATGAACTGAATAGGGGTGCCTGGGTGGCTCAGTCATTAAGCATCTGCCTTCAGCTCAGGTCATGATCCCAGGATCCTGGGATGGAGCCCCGCATCGGGCTCCCTGCTCTTTGGGAAGCCTGCTTCTCCCTCTCCCACTCCCCCTGCTTGTGCTCCCTCTCTCACTGTGTCTCTCTCTGTCAAATAAATAAATAAAATCTTTAATAAAATAAAATGAATAATGTTCAGCTGTGATCTGATCTTTGGGATTAAGTTGTTTTCTTCAGATTTTCTCTTTGGCTTTCTGAGTGTTCCCATACCAAGTTAATATATGCAGAATCCCTACAACAATGCCTGGCATGTGGTAAATGCTCAATGAGGTATCATCATCATCATCATCATTGCCATGATCACCAAAGTATTTTGGAAGCACTCAAAGAAATTCCATTGTGATTCCACTTGTCTGGAGCTTTAAAGACTCCCCAATTTATCTGTGTGTCTTTTCTTTGAAGAAAAGCAAAGATAGGTATACTTAGAATATGTGAATTAAAAAACAATAATTTTACAGGAATCAGAATGCTCTGATTTTAGGATCTTTCCCCTTCTCAGTCAGCTTTTGTATCCTTCAGCTTGTTAGCCTGCAGAACACACCATATCTTACTGTGAAGTGCATGAGGCAGCCTTGAAACGAGAAGACCTTTTCGTCTTGGGTTTGAGACCTGCACATCTGAGGCTGTAAGCACTTTAGATCCCTTTGGTAGATAGACTGGACAATATATCAATACCATGAGATAAATGCTTTAAGCATCATCTACTCTTTCATGTAAATTGCCTATTATTACTCACCAAAAGTCACAGTGTCCATATAAGTATTTCAGTAGTTCTGGAGTGCTAAAAATGCAGTTGGGTAGACATGGCAATAACACTCACAACATTTATAATGTAATGAGGAAGACAACGAAAGGAAAGTGTCTCTCACAGAAACACCCTATGCCAACCAATTATGGGTATAGAAATATTAGGTGATTAGTGACACTATATAATATTCTATATCACTAGAGATATAGCAATAAGCAAAAAAGACCGAAGTCTCTGCTTAAGGGTGGAGATAGAATATTAACAAATAAACATATAATAGGTTAGGGGTAATAAGTGGTAAGTGCTATGGAGAAGGATAAAAGCAGGGCACAGAGACAGAGGATCATTAGTGTAAGTCATGGGTGAGGAGGCTGCTATTTCATTGAAAAGGGTCATGGAAGCTCAAACTTTATGTGTGTGGTTTGAGCAGAGACCTATAGGAAGCAAGGGAGAAAACATGCAGGGAATGAGATAAAGGGGTTATAAGCAGAGACAAGGACAAGTGTAAGACTCAGGGAGGAAATGTGTTTGGAAGTGTCCAAAGAACAGCTAGAGCCAGGTGAGCAAGGACAGGAGTGTGAGCTGATGAGGGCAAGGAGGGAATGTGGGCTGGACAGGCCATTGTGAGTCCTTTGGGTCTTACTCTGAGTGAGATGAGAGACCACTGGAGAGTTTGGAACCAAGAGAGACTTCCATCTGAGAAGGACCACAGCGGCTGGCTGTTCTGTGCACAACAGACTGCAGGAAGGGAAGGAGGAGGCAGGGAGAGACTAGCTAGAAGGGATGTGCACTGATTCAGTCAAGATAGGAGAATGGCTTGGCCCGGGATGGTAGCAGAGAGTTGGCAAGAAGGGGGGATTTTGCACATGTTTGGAATGTATTGCCAACAGATTGGCTGAATTGGATAAGGGTGTGAGAAAAAGAGTTGAGAGGAGTGTAAAAAGATTTCTGCAAAGAAATTGTGAATTGAAAATAAGACTAATAATATAGATATAAGTGCACAATACAGATTGTAAAACTGACACTTTTTCTACCCCTATAAAATAGAAATTACCAAGAAAACTATATAAAATATTTATACCCACTGTTAGCAGTGAGCCTCATCCTAAGTAGGTATTGTTCCTTGAGCTTTTTAGCAAATGAGAGTATGAAGCCATCATGATTAAGAAAACATGCCACCATGATTTTAGAAAATAAGCATCACAAGGGGCGCCTGGGTGGCTCAGTCAGTTAAGCATCTGACTTTGGTTTTGGCTCAGGTCATGATTTCAGGGTGGTGAGATCGAGCCCCACTTCGGGCTACACGCTGAGCGGGGTGTCTGCTTGAGATTCTCTCTCTCCCTCTGCCCCTCCCCCCAATATAAATAAATAAATTTTTAAAAGAAAAAAAATGAGCATCATGAGTTTTAGTAATATCAAACTTAAGTAAGAATAAAATTGTATTATAAATAAAATATCTTCACAATATTCTTAGCAATTGCAGCTTTACCATATCTGTTAAAATCTAGTTTTGGTGCGTGCTTTGTAATGCCTGAACGCATGCGTGTGTGTGTACAGGGAGAGAAAATGAACATAATTCATAAATAAAAATATACCCAAAAGTCAGCATTCTCAACTGATGGTCAGAGTCATTGTTATAAATATGGAAGGTGCTGAAAACCCTAGCAGGAACATAACATAAACAAAATTTAAAGATATTAACCTGGGAATGGGGGTTTACTGGAGTTCAAGATAAAAGGGAGGGGCAAGAAGCTGATGCCTGGGGTATTAATTCTAATTTGCAACCATGTGATGCTTTCCATTTTTCCAAGGGTTCCACGCATAACATCTGATTCCATCCTCATATCAACCCTGTGAAGTCAAGTCAGAAAAGGCCTTATCTCTTTTTCAGTAGGAGTGAACTGAGACTGGGGTTGAGATACTCTCCTGAGCTTGCTGGGATAGAAAGCGACAGGGCCAGGATTCCCATTAGGGCCTCTGGCTCCACAGTCAGTTCTCTGTGAAGACATTCCATAAATATATTTGACAAATTAAGTGCTTACTCTTGGCTGAGTGTTGTGCTAGGTGGTACGGCGGCATCCAAAAGAGAGGGAAAGTCACTCCCTCTATTCCCATGGAGCCTTTGGTCTGGGGCCCCGGACATTAAACAGATGCCTATGAAACTGTTCACTACACTTACAAAGCAACATGTTTGTAAAAGTGGGATAATAAATTTAGCTCATAAGGATTCAGGGGGCAAAAAGTAAAGTTAGAATATTAGTCATCAGAGCAAAGAAAGGTTAGCGGGTATAATAGGGCTCCTTTGATGACTTGAGGTTCCCAGCTCAAACTGATGGTACCTAAAGAAGGAAATTCACTAGGCCGATAGTTCGGATAACTATGGGCTAGCAGGGCGTGGATGATGTCACCAGGAATCCATGCCTCTCTATCCTCAGCACTGTTTTTCTCTGCCTGAGTTTTAGTCCCAGACAGACTCTCACCAGGTGTTGGTAATCTGGCCAGAGCAGCTTCTGGTGAAATCAACAAAATAGGGTTTGTGCCTGGTCTCTGAACCGATCGCTGGGGCTGAGAGTGCTGTGCTCCGATGGGCCAGGCCTGGGTGACACACTCAGATCCAGGTAAGGGTGGGGTCGGCCCCACCAGAATAGCATGGACTAAGTGTCCCCACTAGAAAGAATAATGGCTATCAGGAGGGCAAAACAACAGAGGATCCTTACAACAGGGCAAGATTCCTGAAAGAAGTAATTTGTTCCAAAATTTGAAGGTAGTATTTGAGTTTGGTTTTGATCTCACGGAATTCTGGGAAAGAGTTGGTGTAGGAGCTTCATGACACGCAAGCATGCCCTGCAGAACACGGATTTGAAGGCTTACACAACTTTCCCTTTCCTGTAAGTCTTAAGGACACTATTCACTCATGCAGGGGTGTCCTGAGCTGAGACTCACCATCTCCTTATTATGCCTTTTCTGGTCTCCACCCTTGTGAAGCTAGAGGGTCTTCCTATCCCTGAAGCCCCCAACGACAGCCTTTCAGACTCCTTCCCAGCCACTCACTGGCCTTTTGCAGTGACTTCTCCCTTTTAAGGTTGCCTTTAGTGACCTAATAATAATCTGTTATTAAAGATGCAAGAGACAGTCCTTAGACCTCCTCACTCACACTCCCCTGGGCTCCCCAAGTTTGGCTCTGTCCTGTTTTCAAGTTTGCATTTTCTCCTTTCCACAGAGGTTCGCAATTTTCCCTTTAAGAAATCCTCTCCATCATGTTCCAACAGTTCTTCATCCCATACTCTTGTCCCTGCCTTCCACTAATCACATCCACGGGCCCTGCTGACCCTCTGTGACACTTTTGAATTTTAGAGAAAGGCCACATGTTGCAAAGTCCTACTCTAGAAGGCAGAACACTCCATTTCCTGCTCCTCCCAGGGCCTTTATCTCTCCAGGCCTCCTCTCCTGTAACTCTGAAATGGAGATAAGATTCCCGATTCCCAGAGGGAAGCATTTGCAAAGTGCTCTGAGTGCTTTGATGAAATTGATTAGATAAATGGAAACATTTTTTTTTTTTTTGCAACTGCTCTAGCCTGTAAGAAAAATAAGTTATATAAATGCAATGACTTGCCATTGGACAAATCATGAAGGTCCTTTGTAATTTCAGATATTATTTCACAAGAGTTTTTTCCCAGCAACAAAAAACCAGAACGAGTGATTTGAAGTGTTTTAAAAATAAATACTGCTTGATATCTTTAAAGCAGTACTTTCATTATCAATGATTGAATTAACATTTTGTTTAATTTTTCTAGCTTCTCTCTTGAAGGGTTTGAAACATGCCAATATTGTGCTCCTGCATGACATAATCCACACCAAAGAGACTCTGACATTTGTTTTTGAATACATGGTGAGTTGCCCCAGCATTTTATAAAGCATAAGAGAAAAGCCTGGTGCTCATGTAATGAATCTGTTAATATTTTATGGCATGATAAAACTTTCATTACAATGTGGAAAGTGTCATGGAAATTTTCATTATTATGATTACTAGAGACTATTGTTCTTATACTCCTTCTTTGCTCCTGTTTCTTTACCCACTGTATTTGCTGTCTTCCCCCCACCTCACCCACCCCCCCGCCTTACCAGCAATAATTAAATAAGCACGTTGAGTCTGCCTCCTAAAGAAAACTTTCGTGCTTATTTTTTATCTATTTTTAATCACCATCTGTGCAGAACCCAACATTTTTTCATTGACAATAAAGACATAAATCACAAGGTTTTTAAAAATTGTATCCTAGTTTACTAAATAATAACTCACTTTCATATTTTTGAAAGGAAAAAGCCATTCAAAATATTAGCAGAAAGAAATCCTAAGGCACGTATACTTGACTTGCCTCCAAGGAGAGTGAAAAATGCCTGTATCACTGTGTTCACTGGCAGTCATTTAAAATGAGCATCTTGGGGCGCCTGGGTGGCTCAGTCGTTAAGCGTCTGCCTTCGGCTCAGGTCATGATCCTGGGGTCCTGGGATCGAGCCCTGCATCAGGCGCCCTGCTCCGCGGGAAGCCTGCTTCTCCCTCTCCCACTCCCCCTGCTTGTGTTCCCTCTCTCTGTCAAATAAATAAATAAATAAATCTTTAAAAAAAATAAAATGAGCATCTTTTTGTGAGGAGAAACAAGCTTCCTTCTTAGGACAGCCATTTAGAAAGACACACTGTGTTTGACCTTGATAGTGAGGTCTCAGGAAACCTGGTTATGTATCTTTTGTAACTTATTCTCAAAAACTCTGAAGTTTGGGGGTGCCTGGGTGGCTCAGTCGGTTAGGCGACTGCCTTCGGCTCAGGTCATGATCCTGGAGTCCCGGGATCGAGTCCCGCATCGGGCTCCCTGCTTGGCGGGGAGTCTGCTTCTCCCTCTGACCCTCCCCACTCTCATGTGCTCTCTCTCTCAAATATATAAATAAAATCTTTAAAAAAAAAACTCTGAAGTTTGTAATACCTCTGACAGTCACATCTGTGGTCTGCTTTAGGACACTGTTCAAGCTCTGCTAATGTCACTCTCTCCACCATTTGGTGTAGCACACAGACCTGGCCCAGTACATGTCTCAGCACCCAGGAGGGCTTCATCCTCACAACGTCAGGGTGAGTACTGTGGGAGTCAGGACTCCTCTCCGGCTTGCCCTCAGCAGAAGAGTTTTGAAACAGACTGTCATTGCAAAGCAAAATCCCATGATACTAAATAAGAAGATGCCTATCATTGATATTCTAGAGAAAAGTTTAAAAAAAAAGTTCCCCCTCGGGGTGCCTGGGTGGCTCAGTCGGTTAAGCATCCAACTCTTGATTTCCACTCCGGTCATGGTCTCACGGTTGTGGGGATTGAGCCCCAAGTCAGGCTCCGCACTCAGCGGGGGAGTCTGCTTGAGATTCTCTCCCTCTGCCTCTACCCCTCCCCCCACCCCCGATCATGTGTGCGCATGTGCTCTCTCTCTCTCTCAAAAGAAGTAAATAAAACCTTAAAAAGAAAAAAAGGTCCCTCTCAAGATATAGAGCAGTGTCTAGCCATTTTCCAGGCAGCCTAAACTTGTCAGTCATTGCCATCATGCAAATGTGTCTTCAGAAGTACAAAGCAATTAAAAAGAATTGCATTCAAAGGAAAGAAGTGAAGCTAAGCCATCATAAAATACCTTCTTCATGGCAGACTACTGTGGTCTGTGATAAAGTTTCTGTTTTACTTATAGTTCCTCACCAGAATCAGCAAACAAACTACCTTTGTTAGGTCAAAATTAAGTTACTTGTTTGCCTGTTCTATCAGATCCTGTTGTAAATGAGACCTAGTTCCATTTCCCAGTCACTGGAATGGAACTAATAATAAACTCTCAACTCGCTGTAATTCTATGTCTGCTGTAAATTTTAGAAACCATTTCCATTTCATACTTTTCATTCCCTATGGTTTTATTGGCATTAATTACTTGATTGGTCCTCGGTATAACCTATATGAAATTTCTATATGATGTACTCATTCATTTAATTAACACTTATATTCTTTTATTCATTTATTCATTCAAGAATGATTGAGTACTTAGTATTATATTAAGTTCTGAGGTTTCAATAATGAATAGTTGTGTTTCTTATTTTCAATAAGCTCAAAGCCCAGTAAGATATACAGACTTAAATAGGTAGTAAGAAGCAAAGTGACAGGGGCTATGGCCATGTTAACTAGAAATACTATGAGAACTCATAGTAAAGGGACCTAATCCAGTCTTGGAAGCAAGGGGGAAAAGAAGGCTTGAGGGTTGAGGAGAGTGAAAACATTTTAAAATAGCTAGTGGAGATGGGATAGAGACCTAACCAGGCAAACCAAGAAAGAATGTCTAGTAGTGTATTGAGGACTCTTGGTGAGAACGAAAACCATTAAATTATCTGCATGATCATGGGATTTCCTTTTTAATGGCAGTGCTGAGCAATTCAGATAGAGGAATAGAAAAAGTAGACAGTCTGGATTGCCAGACATGTGAAAGAAAAAGACAGTTGGGCAAGAGATTTGAGGAGATTGTCAAGAGAGAGGTTAAAGTGATGGTCAGGCTTTTAACTGAGTCTAATCTAAAGGAAGGAAGTTAAGACGGGTTGCTGATAGCTCGGAAGAGAGCAGAAGAGTCAAGGAACTAGAGGTATTGGTTAAGGTGATGACCGCTTGGAGAAAGAATGGAGAAAGAACATTTTCAGGCTTGAGTGACTCTCATACCAGGCACTGTGCTAAAGGCTTAGAAGGATAAAAAGACATAGAAGACATGATTCCTAATGTCAAGGGTCTTACAACCAAAAACAAGAGTTTAGAAATATGCACCGGTACTATTATGGGACATTTGTGAATAACACCAAGTGAAAAATAAGACCTAGTGTAGATATGCAAAAAAGTAAAAGATATCTTCTCATTTTAAGAGCTTTTATGAAACCAGACCTTAAAAGATGCATTGCATTTCAAGAGGCTAGAATGGGGGAAGATGTCACAGGAGGAAGGAATGTTTTCAGCAAAGGTACAGAGCAGAGAAGCAGAAGAACAGAGCAGAGCAGTATAGGATGTGTTGAAGGAAGAGGATCCCAGAGTCATGGACCATTAGGGTTGGAGGAACCACAGTGTTTTTCAGTCTTCACATTCTGGCCCATTCGTGGGTTATGAAATAATTTGGTGATTAGCAACTAGCATTTTTTAAAAAGATGTATTTATTTATTTGACAGAGAGAGACACAGCAAGAGAGGGAACAGAAGCATGGGGAGTGGGAGAGGGAGAAGCGGGCTTCCGGCAGAGCAGGGAGCCCAATGCGGGGCTCGATCTCAGGACCCTGGGATCATGACCTGAGCCGAAGGCAGATGCTTAACGACTGAGCCACCCAGGAGCCCCAGCAACTAGCATTTTAAAAAATGAAATGGAATAGATGAGAAAAGAATAGAAAATATTAGAGTACATTACACCTAGCAAGAATAAGCATTATATTGTGCAACTTTAGGTCCAGTTGAAACTGTACTTGTACCTCTGTATGAATACTGGATATGTATGTATTTCTTACTGTAAGTTGCAGCAGGAAAAAAAAAAAAAGCCTTAAAAATATTGGGCTGGTCTAACTCCCTTATTTTGCAGAATTGGAATCCAAGGTTTGAGAAGACAAGTATTTTGCCTGAGGTTATAGAACCAGCTTTTGCCATTGCTGACCGTGATTCTTGGTTAAGGTCTTTTCCCACTAGTACCAATACTGCATCTCTGGTCCTGTTGGCCTGAAAGAGAGAATATATTAATGAGATGAGGGGTATGTAAGTCTGGAAAAATAGATTGGGTAGGTAGGTGAGAGCCTTATTTTCTAAGATGTGGACTCTATTTCTTAGACAGTAGGGTCATTAAAAGGGTTTGAGTTGAGAGAGAATGACATGATCAGAAGGAAATTTATGTAACTGTGGTCTGTGGGATGGATTAAAGAGTAGGAGATTCCAGTTAGGAGTTTATTGATGTGGGCTAGCCCAGGGCTTCTCAAACTTCAATGAGCAGATGAATGACGTGGGCATCTGATTCAGGAAGTCTAGGGTGAGGCCTCACCTTTTGGATTTCTAACATAATCTCCTTGATTGACCAGAAGAATTATAACTCTATTAACAGAAATAGAAGTTGATTTGGAGAGGAGGAGGAAGAGTCCTGTTTTAGACATGGTGAGCTTCTAGTTGAGGTGGAAATCCAAAGGGAAATGAGCAGCAGACAATCAGAGAGGAGATTAGTGCCCAGGAGGAAGCTATATGCTGGAGACGTAGACTTGGGGGTAATTGACTCAGGGAGTTTGTAGTTCAAGACAAGAGAGTAGATAACCAAAAGAGCAAATGCACAAAGATAAAAGAACTGATTATAGAACTTTTGCCTTTAGGGGTTGAAAGAGGAACAGGACACAAGAGACAAAAAGGAAGCAGCTTTTCAGACTGTAGAGGATCCAGAAAAGTACACTCTCATGGAAGTCAAGGGAAGAGACAGTTTCAGGGAAGGCCATGGTCGAGAGGGCCACTGGCACCGGGAATACAGTTGAAAATCATACTTGACTGCAATCATACTTGACTACTTTGTGGATTTGTGAGAGCTACCCTAATAAATAGAGGGATTTCTTAGGGGTATGGAGAAGCACAAAGGAAGAAGTTTTCCAATCAAAGCCAGTGGGGGTAGGGATGAGTTCCCCACAGCAGACGCAGCAGTGAAAATGCTCCCGCTGGCCCAGATGGCACTAGCCCAGTGAAATTATTTTGTCCCCAAGAGCCTCACTGTGTTGGAAACAGGACTCACCCCTGGGGTATGGGAAGCCTCGCTGGAGAGAATCACCCACTACTTGGCTTGTTGACTAAGAAAACACCATTGGGTTGGGTTGTGTTATCAGTGAAGCTTGGGCCAGTGTGAAGGAAGAATCCAGGTTGCAAAGGATTCAAGAGTGAGTGGGTGGTGAGGTTAATCAGGGCAGACTGCAGTTTTAAGAAGCGTGGCTATAAAATACCAGACATTAATACTGCAGTGCATTATCATTTATGAATGCTGGTGGACATGCACATGGAGCCGGGGAGGAAAGGGCCCGAAGAGCGAGGAGGTAGGAGGCGGGTGTGACTCATTAGTGAGAGCAGTCTGTACTCCAACATGAAAGGCATTTCAGGCTGGTCCGCGAAGAAGCTTGTCTCTGACTCAGCCAGCTGATGCTCCCTTTCCCTGTCACATTTTAATTTTCTTTTCTTTGTTTTCTCAGAATGTTGTAGAGGAGTTAGGCAGGTCTGAGTTTGAGTTTTGACCCCAACTGTTTCTTGACATGCTCTTAAAGTTTCCTTGAGCCTTATTTTTCTTATCTGCAAATCGGAAACAAGCCTATCTCCCTCATGGGGTTACTTTGAGGATTCTAAAAGGTGCAAGGTGTTCAATAAAATGTTGTTTTCCCTTCCTCCTTTCTGTCTCTGTCCCTCAATTGTCTCGTGCTCCCTCCTTCCTTAGTATTTTCACATTGAAAAGCGTATCTGTAAGCACACAATGTAGCATCTTCTCTTTTTCCTGCAATTTTAGTTGCTTCTTCATATTGTCTTTCCAGAAACATTTGTATTTATAGCTGATTGGAAGGTTAAATGTTGGTATAGGAATTTCGCATTTTGGTAGCTTCGTAGTTTGATGAATGGTAAAATGGATAGTGTGTGTACGCAAAGCACCAAGAAGGGAAAGCACTGGGAAAACTCAAAGAACCAGTGAACATCTGAAGTAGGAGTGGCAAGAAATCTTTCACATTCTTAAATGGCTTGTGAGCCCAAGGTGGGACTTGCATGGAAGTACACGGCCCCCAGGCTCCTGCTCTGGTCAGACCGTGCGGCCCCTCAGCTTGGCTCCAATGTCTCCTAGTCATTGTTAGGCCAGTACAGGTCCCAGCATCTCTGAAGTTCCTAATTGAAGGCAAAAGTGGATCTCTTTGCACAGCTCTGCATCGGCTACTTTTTTTTTTTTTTAAAGATTTTATTTATTTATTCATGAGAGATAGAGAGAGAGAGAGAGAGAGGCAGAGGCAGAGGGAGAAGCAGGCTCCCCGCGGAGCAGGGAGCCCGATGCGGGACTCGATCCCAGGACCCTGGGATCATGACCTGAGCTGAAGGCAGACGCTTAACCGACTGAGCCACCCAGGCGTCCCTACATCAGCTACTTTGTCTGTGTCTCCAGGAATGCTGGGGCTGGGCTTTTCTCTTCTAAATTGCCAGAACATGTTCTCAGTTGGCAGATGTCTTTGTAAACACTAATGTTGGTGTTTCAATTCTCAATTGCCAGTGGCTCTGGAAAAGAGCAAAAGACATTGGAATCCTAAGCATTCTTTTTTTCCTTCCGCTTCTACATTGGTGAGAACTTACTAATGTCTTCAGTTTCTATGCCTTACTTACCACATGCAACATTTAAAAATTTGGGCCTAGAATGTATTTTTCCCTCTTCTTTCTTCTTTCTGTTATTTATTCCTTATTCTCTTCAGGTTTTTTTTTTTTTTTTTTTTTTGGTCTCTCTTCCCTCTTAATCAAATGGCTGTACTATAGCTTGTTTTCAACTTTGAACTTTAAAAATAGTTTTAAAAAGATAATGGTTCCTTTATTTCCTACTACCATCTAAAGATATATTTCCCAGTCTGGTCTCCTTGTGTTATGTTTTTAAAAGGGTTTCATATCAGAGAGCCTGGAAAACTGGAGCAGTTGTAAACCTTAGAATATCATTTCCAGGTCAACTTTGATCTTATATGCCAAGTTCATCGGTGGGAAAAAAAATTAAATCTTTCACATCTAAATCAATAACTAGTGTTCCAAAGGAAACTTCAAAGTTTCCCTTTAGATTTTTAAGGAAGGGTAATCCTTCCAGTATCAAAGAAATGAGATGTCAGGAAAAGGCAGAATCCCTTTGTTTAGAACATGGTCTACTTACTTGACTTTTTCTTGTCTTTTTTTTTTCCCCTCTCCGAATGTAAAATCTTCATATTTTCTTTTTTTTTTTTTTGTCTCTCAAGAGACTTTTACTATATTCTTTCAGATGACTGTTTTTGATTTAGAGGAGAAATCAACACATAGTGGCTCAAATCTGCTTAGATAAGGTGTTCATTCCTTCCAGCTTTTCATGTTTCAACTTTTGCGGGGCCTGGCGTACATCCACCACCAACACGTTCTTCACAGGGACCTGAAACCTCAGAACTTACTCATCAGTCACCTGGGAGAGCTCAAACTGGCTGATTTTGGTAAGTCTCCCCTCGAGTCTCTTTCTGGGCTATGAACAATGATGCTTTTGTGTGCACATGTTTAAAGCATTGACTGGGCCTGGCCTTTGAAAAGTGGAGGCCCATGACACGTGATGCTTTGTGAGGCTGTCAAACTACCCTATAGGAAGTGTGAGGCAAGAAACAGGGTGAGATTGGTAGCATCTAGAATTCCATCAAGCCCCAGTCTAATCAGATCCAAAAACTTGGGCACCTCTACTGCCCCATTGCCATTTTTTATAGAGAGACTTGTAAAGGGCAAACTGTACCTAGGAGGCTTTCCTACATGTGAGTGGATAGAAAAATTCTGTCCGCATAGATCCAGGTTATCCCATGATGACAGGATAAAGACGTAAACCCCAGATTATAGGATGGACTCCTGCTGGAATAGAGGCCCCAGGGCCTTTGCTCCTGCTCACCTATCAATAGAGCTTTGTATGAGTACCTGAGGTTTTTATTACCATCAAAGTGATGTGGATTTCCCTGGGGTATCACTGTATCTTTCCATTTAGCACTTATCACAGTTTATAATTATACACACACATATATTTGCGTGATGATTTTGTCTCTTCCACTGGACTATAAGCATTCTGAAGGCAGCCTGAGTCCATTTTGCTTATCATTATATCCTTAGTGCTGGACACCACCGTAGGTGCTCAGTAAATATTTGTTGAAAAATTGGAGCTGAGGAACCACTCTTCTCTGTTTGGCAGATATCAAGTGGTTGCACTGTAGCTGCAGTACTTTATTCTGACATAGTAGCTTTCATCTGGACAAGTAAGCATTTAACAGATACTCATTTATCAATTCCCCACAACAGAGAACTCATCTACTGAGGTTTTTCCCCAACTCTAGATCATGTGATTCTGTGAGATAAGTAGCTAACTGACAAAAGTACTAATAGGGGCGCCTGGGTGGCTCAGTTGGTTAAGCATCCGACTCTTGATTTCAACTCAGGTCATCATCTCAGGGTCATGATCTCAGGGTCCTGTGATCAAACCCCATGTTGGGCTCCATGCTGGGCATGGAGCCTGCTTAAGATTCTCTTTCTCCCTCTCCCTCTGCCCCTCCCCACCTCTTAAAAAAAAAAAAAGTACTCTGATATTGCAGAAGAAAACTTAAGAGTGATGTGTCCAAAGTCCTACCAAACTAATTAATTTGGATTAGCAGTCCCCACCCTGTATTTTACTAAACTGGGGATTCCTGGACTGCAAAAATGGAGAGCGACAATATTAGTTGTGAATTGAGTTCTGTTGCTATGACCAAGACCCCAAACTGGAGGTTGTAAACATGTTAAAGCTTAACTTTCTCGGGACGCCTGGGTGGCTCAGTTGGTTAGGCACCTGCCTTCGGCTCAGGTCATGATCCCAGGGTCCTGGGATCGAGCCCCACGTCGGGCTCCCTGCTCAGTGGGGAGCCTGCTTCTCCCTCTGCCTGCTGCTCCCTCCTGCTTGTGCTCTTTCTCTCTGTGTCTTTCTCTCTGACAAATAAAATATATGTATAAAAAAAGTTTAACTTTCTCTCATATAACAGTCTAACCTAAGTAGTCAGAGCTTGTATGGTGGCCCTGTGGTGTCTTGACCCATGTCCCTTCTGTCTTGAGGCCCCACCATCTTTAGGGTATTGCCCCAACTACATATTTAAAGATGGCTGCCACCTCCTTCTGATTATAGCTTGGAGGAAGAGGAAAAGCAAAGAATGCTTAATCCCTCCAAAAAGGCATGATCTGGAAGCTCACACTTCAGTTCTGTTTATAGCATATAAGCAGGGAAGAAGTTGGTCACTTCACTATACTTAGCTTCCAGGAAGGCCACATCCAGCTGCAAAGTAGGCCAAAATTTGAGAAATTCACTTGATAAGGAGGTCCATGAGGGTCAAGATAGTTGAGTGACTCTATTAAAAGCACCCAAAGTTTGTGTATTATTTTTTAAATGTTGTTTATTCTGCCAGTTATTAACTCCTTAGTTGCATGCCTCGCTTCCTGGCTCTCCCGGAAGACCTAGGACAGTGAGTTCTGTGCTTTTCTTCTTTGGTCAGGTCTCGCTCGGGCAAAGTCCATTCCCAGCCAGACATACTCTTCAGAAGTTGTGACCCTCTGGTATCGGCCTCCTGATGCCTTGCTGGGAGCCACTGAGTATTCCTCTGAACTGGACATATGGTAAGAGCTACTGCCAAGAGAATGAAGAAAATGTGAGTCATTTTACCTAGGAGGATTCCTTCGTCATCTGTATTGCATTTTAAATAATAATGTTAATAATGACAATCACATTTATAGACAGAAACATAAAGTGCTTTTAAATACATATCTCATTTGACTTTTGCAATCATTTTGTGAGTTTTTATGGTTAAAGAAACTGGGACTCAGAGACATCTGGCCCAAGGCATATTCTGAATCCGATGTTCTTTCTTTCTTTTTTTTTTTTTCGATGTTCTTTCTACCATGCCTCTCTCTTCCTAGCTCTTCTCTTCAGTCCTTCGTCTTTCCCCCTTTTCCTCAGAGAAACACACACACATACTCCCTGACCAGAGATACACACACAGACACACGTCTACACACTAATGCTTGCACATGCCCAAGCACCATTCCGAGCTTAGAGAAAAAGGCACACAGACCATGATTCAATAAACCTGATTTTCACACCAGTTCTATTTCTAATTAGTTACTCTGGATTATGTTATCTTGAAAAGCATTATCCTCTTTGTGTCTGTATTTCTCCATTTTTTAAATGAGGGTAATAAACTCTCTCCATGAGAGGGGCTATAGTATAAGAATCAGATAGGTGTTTCCAAGTAAAACCACATCACTGGAGAGGCTCTTGGATTAATGGGGTGCTACAGTGAGTGTGGGATAACTCATCATCCTGAGCAGCAATGTTATGTTATCAGATCTTATTTCTGGAAATATCCCAGTTATCCGGGGGCCACAGTGAAATGTGTGGTGACTTTGCAATCATAGCCACCCCCTCAAAGGTAACAAAATATGTGGACATCCTTCAATTCCTTGGAAGGTCTTATATAAACAAAAGGCCTTGTTTTAAAAAGTATATCAATAATAGATTTTTTAAAAATTAAATAGTAGTCTAAAAGGCTAAACTAAGCTTTTGGATTTCCCAAAGAATTGAGAAAGGTTGCAGAAATATCCCTCCAGTGTATCTGGAGTCATTGATTCCCCAATACCCAGTACCATTTCTAGAAATATCACCAGCTAGTCAAAATCCTCCCACAACTGTCAGCTCTCAGGGCTCTGTGCTGTCACTTCAAAGGCTTGCGACGGGCTCTGGCTTTCTCAGCGCTTAATGATTACTTCCTAGTCGTGCTTCACAGAGTGAAACTTCGGCTCATCACTTTTAAACTTTGTTTTATTATGGAACATTTAAAACATTCCAAAGATAGAGCATATAGGGGCACCTGGGTGGCTCAGTTGGCTAGGTGTCCGACTCTTGGTCTCAGCTCAGGTCTTGATCTCACCGTTGTGAGTTCCAGCCCTGCACTGGGCTTCACGCTGGGTGTGGAGCCTACTTCGAAACAAAACAAAACACGCACATGAAAAAATATATACCATATATATACATCAGTGATTCTCAACCAGGGCAAATTTTACTCCCCAGGGACACTTGGCAATGTCTGGAGACACATTTTATTGTCACAGCTGGATAGGGTGTGCTCCTGGCATCTACTGGGTAGAGGCCTGGGATGCTCCTATGAGGCACAGGACAGCCCCCCAAAATGAAGATTTATCTAGCCCCAGATGTCAACAGTATCAAGATTGAGAAACCTGATGTAGTTTAAGAAGCACGATAAGTGAACTTCATGAACCCACTACCCAGTGTCACAACCAGAACACGCTGTCATATTTCCATGTGCCCCTCTCCCAACAACCTGCCCCTCTACCAGGCTGGCTTCAAACCTGAATTTTTTTCTTTTTTCTTTTTTAAAGATTTTATTTATTTATTTGACAGAGAGAGACACAGCGAGAGAGGGAACACAAGCAGGGGGAGTGGGAGAGGGAGAAGCAGGCTTCCCGCTGAGCAGAGAGCCCGACACGGGGCTCGATCTCAGGACCCTGGGATCATGACCTGAGCCGAAGGCAGACGCTTAACGACTGAGCCACTCAGGCGCCCCTGAATTTTTTTCTTATCTTCATTCCCTTCTAAAAATCATATTTTTACATTTTTATGTGTTCTAAAGATAGTGTTTTGTTTTACCTGCTTTTGAGTCTGTAAAAATGGTATTATATTGTTTTTAGCCTTCTGGGTCTCGCCGTTTTCTACTCCAGATGTTTCTAAGATCATTCATGTTGACGTATGTAGCTGTGCTTTATTCCCTGTTGATGGACGTTTCAATTAGTTAGTTTGGTTTTTTGTTTTGTTTGCTTTCGTTGTAATGAATATACTTGGTACTCATATTTAAGGATTTCTCTGTAGTATTTACTTAGTGGATTTGCAGTGTCACAGGGTATATGAATGTTCAACTGCCTGAGATAGCGCCGAGTTGCTTTCCAAAGTAGTTGTAACAATTTATACACCAGCCCCTTATCCTCAGCTGCACCAACTTTATAATCAAGTGGGTAGAATGGTATCATGTTGTGATCTAAATTTGCGTTTTCCTGATTACTAATGAGGTTGGACACCTTTTCATGGATTATTTGCCATTTGTGCTTCTCTTCTGTGAATACCTACTCGTGTCTTTTGCTTATTTTCTTTTGGTCTCTCTGTCTCTGTCTCCCTCCGTCCCTCCCTCCCTTTCTTTCTTTCTTTATTGATTTATATTGTTCTTCTAAATAGGAACCTTTTATCAGTTTTGTGTGTTGCAAGAAGCCTCCTCAGTTCATGGCTTATGCTTTCATATCCTTATGTTGTCTTTTCGAACAGAAGTTCTTAATTTCAATATTGTTGACCTTATCAAGTCTTTTCTTTTACGGTTAGCTCTTTTGTTTCTTGTTTAAAAAATTCTTCCCTCCTTGAGGTCAGAATGATATTTTCCAATACATCCTTTTAAAAGTTGTAAAGTTTGTCCTTTCATTTTAAATTTTTAATACTGGAAATTGATTTTTGTCTGTGCCAACCAATTGTCTCACCCCAATTTCTTCGGTGATCTGCTATACCAAATCTCTCATAAATCAAGTTTCCATAAATGCAGAGGTCTGTGTCTGGGCTCTCTATTCTGTTCCACTAGGGGCCAGTTTCTCTGTCCCTGCACCAATGTCCCACTGTTTAATTGCTATAGCTTTATAATAATATTTGATATCTGGTAGGACAAGTGTCCCCACCTATTTCATCTCCTTCCTCAGGAGGGTCTTGGCTATTTTTCCCCTTTGATTTTTCATATACATTTTATTTATTTATTTATAAAGATTGTATTTTTGTGAATCTCTACACCTATTGTGGGACTCGAACTCACAACCCTGAGATAAAGAGTTGCATGCTCTACTGACTGAGCTAGCTGGTGTCCCATGATTTTTCATATACATTTTTAGATTCAGTGTTTCAAGTTTCATGAAAAAATCCTAGTGGCATTTTCATTAGAAATTGCATTGAAATTATAGAACTCTCTGAGGATAATTAACACCTTTATAATATTGTTTTCCAATTTTTAAACACAGTATATCTCTTCATCTGTTTGGTTTGTCTTTAACATCTTTTAGTAGTTTTATCATTTTCTCTCTAAGCTCTTACATATCTAGAGCAAAGGTCCTTGTAAGTCTATTTCTGCTGTTTATTGTTTCTTTTGGTTCTTGCATATGGTATCTTTTTTTTCCATGTGTGTTTAGTTGTTTTTGACAGCGATATGCTAATTTGCCTTGGAATTTAATTTGTGGGATTTTTTTGAGGTCTTGAATGATTTCAGGGAAGATTTGCATTTGGTTCTGTTTTGTGCATTATTTTTCAAGAAATTAATTTTTGTATTTTATATAAGTGTTGGTCTGCCACTCAGATCTTGATTTCCTGATATCATTCCCCACTAAAAAGAACTCAGACATTTTGGAGAAATGGCCAATTCTAAGGCTGGGGCAGGGAAAGTATAAGATGAGCCAGGAACATCTTGGTGGGCCAGAACATTTTTTTACAAAGTAGTCAAAAAATGATGGGATTATATCAAAAAGACAGGGGAAGCAACTTGAAGAAATGTCCACTGGTCACAGATGTACAATTTGAGTACAATTTGACTTAAATCAAAGCAAATTATGTGGGTAATGGATTATAGCCCACTGAATAAAATAAGAATGCGCAAGTCCATACTAAGGTTAGCTGGCTAGCTGCATAAGAAAGGAAGCACCTCCTTACAGTAGCATACCAGCTAATAACTGGAGAAGAAATGATGGACTTAGAAAACCACTGTTTTGCAGTGTAGCAGTGATTGGCTCAAACAAGAATTAACAATGTTAAACTAGAGCAGAAAGTTTGATGAGGAATAAAAAATTTACATCATCTCAGAGTATCTCTCCACAAATTACTTATCAGTTACAAAGAAAAAAATAGTAGTTTATAGTTAGAGAAACTTGGCAGACATCACCTTCACCAAGTGATTAGAGTCAATATTATCAGTAATGGGACTGACTGAGAAGAATACAGATTCCTGAATTGTTGGGTACAGGTTTTTACATATATTCAAAAATTCAAGGTTAGTTGTGTTATCCAAATCTTCTTTATATCATTTTTGTCTGTTTAACTTATCAATCAAAGTTGTGTTGAAATTGTTCACTACATTGTTGATTTCTCTTAATTCCATTAATTTTTGTTTTATATACTTAAAGCTACTTTCATTAAGTGCAAATAAATTTAAAACTCTTTAAAACTGTTTAAAACTGTGCACTTTAAATCTTACTTTTGGAATAATTTTCCTTTCTTTTGAAGTAAATCTTTTAGAATATTCTTTAGTGTAGGCCTATCAGTGGCAAACTCTGCTTTTGTGTCTTAAACTCTCATTGTTGAAAGGTAAACTTGCTGGGGATGTAATTCAAGATTGATGCTTATTTTTTCTCAGAACTTTGAAGATATCATCCCCCTGCTTTGTGTTCCGTTGTTGCTGTTGTGAAGTTTGCTTTTAGCCTAATTGTTGAGAAGTTTGCTTTGAGCCTTATTGTCTTACTTTTACAGGTGATCTCTCATTTTAGCTAGATGTTTTAAAGATTTTTTTTTTTTGCCTTTATTATTATAGAGTTTTCACTTTAAGGTGTCTGGTGTGCGTTTCCTTTCACTTACCCTGCTTGGTATATATCGTGCTTCTTCCAGTTACAAATCATGTCTTTAGTTGGTCATTTCCTTCTTGAATGTTGCCTCTATTCCCATCTCTTTCTGGAGCTCCAGTGAAAGATTATCAGACCATGTTTTTCTATTATCCACAGTTCTTATGCTCTCTTTCATATTTCCTGTCTCCTTAACTTTCTGTGCTGCCTTCTGCATTATTTCTTCAGTTCACCTACCAGTCCTTTAAGTCTGTCTTAAGCTACGTATCCCTCACATATACAAGATATACACAAATGTATATGATTTCATTGGTGTTTCATGAATTTAACCATGAATAATGATAACACAAAATAGAAATTCAATTTTAAGTTAAAGTTATTGTCATTGCTTATTCATTCCATTCTTATTATTGTGTTCTCAGTAAAACTTAAAAAGTAATATAAAAATAGAGCAATAGGCATCTTTCATTGAATTTACTGTTATTTTTTTACTCTCCACATAATTGTCAGGTATCAGGTATTTACATCACGATTCCTCTTCCCCCATGTTTTTTTCTTTTCAGAGTGGTAAAAGGGGAAGTGAGTAGGGAGAAGATTGCCAATTGACAAAGGAAGGAAAGGGGGGAAATCCTATTGTGCTAGGCCACGAAACCCCATAGGGCACAAGCTGAGTGCATTTTTTTAAATTAATTAATTAATTTATTTATTTATTTATTTATTTATTTATTTGGTGGGGGATGCACGGGGAGAGGGAGAGAGAGAAAATCTTAAGCAGACTCCATGCTGGGCTCGATCTCACAACCCTGGGATCATGACCTGAGCCAAAATCCAGAGTCGGATGCTTAACCGACTGAGCCACCAAGGTGCCCCAAACTGGGTGCATTTTAAGAGGCAGATGACCATGGGGGAGCATTAGAGCCTTCGTCTTAAAGAAACTAATGATACCAGAGTGCCAGAGCCTCTCATTCACAGTGAGCCCAGGTGACAGCAGTGTCAGTGGGGGCCCAGAGCAAACAGTTAGACTACGGAAAACATACAAGTGGGACATACTGGTTATTCCCAGCACTTAATACCAATGCTCTCTCATCTCCCATCATCGTTTCTTCTTTCTTTCTGCCACCTTTTCAAGCCTTAAAAGATTCTATTAGCAACTTCAGTGAGAAAACTCAATGTTTTAGGATAATTACACCATTTTGTTTTTGTTTTTTACCTTTTTTGTATTGTGTTAGAATACACATAACATAAAATTTACCATTTTAACCATTTTATTTTTTTAAGATTTATTTATTTATTTTAGAGGGAGAGTATGAGTGAGGGAAGAGGGAGAGGGAGACAGTCCTCAAGCAGACTCCCCACTGAGCGCAGAGCCTGACACAGGGCTCAATCCCACAACCCTGAAATCATGAGCCAAAATCAAGAGTCAGATACTTAACTAACTGAGCCACCCATGCACCCCGATTTTAAGCATTTTAAAATGTACAATCCAGTGGCATTAAGTACATTGACATTGTAGTATAACCATCGCCATTATCCATCTCCAAAACTTTTCGTCATCCCAAACTAAAACTCTGTACCCATTAAACAAAGACTCCCTATTACTCCCTTCCCCCAACCCCTATTCTACCTGCTGTCTCCATGAATATAACCCTTCTAGGTACTTCATTTAAGTGCAGTCATACAATATTTTTCTTCTGTGTCTGGTTTATTTCACTTAGCATAATGTTTTCAAGGTTCATCCGTGTTGGGGTAAACTGGGTTTTAAAAAAGGATTTATTTTGTCACACAACGTGTACTATTCAAAACTGACTTCAGGCAGCTGCTGGTTTTAGGACTATGAAAAGTTGTTCCTGCCTGAGAGATTGCAGATTTTTCCTGCTGCAAACTTCCAAATATAAAGAGTGGCCCAGGGAAAAGCAAATGGAAATGTCATGTCACTGTCATACATTATGTTGTACTGAATTAATTTCAACAGTGAAAAATGAAATACTGATCCATTTCTCCCAACAACATTTTTGTATGCTCTTTACACCTCTGAAAAACCTAAAACTCCTGAGATGGTTGATTTCCCCAGAGATTGCCTAAGGAATTTGAAGAATCTTTTACTCTCTTAGGGAAGAATTTGTTCATGCTCAGAATAGAGGAAAAATTAGGAAGAAAGCCAGAAAAAGCAAAAAACATAAGCTGTTTCCTCTAACTTGACTGAAGAGCCACAGTTGGAGCAATAAAATGACCCAGTGCATCTCTCCTTTCTGGAAGGATTCACTGGTTGACGCCATCGGGGCTTTTTACCCTGCAAAGGAAGTTCCCCTTCATCTACACGGTCTGCCCCAAGGGTATCTCCACAGAGCAGAAATCCTCTGAGCAGCTTAAAGATAGGAAGGGGAAGAAGAGGAGGTAAGAAGAGCCAGAGGATGAAGATTTAAGAACAAAGCAGAGGAGTAAAAAGAAATAGGAGCTGGTTTCCTATCTGGACCTAAACGTTCAGAATATTTTAAATGTTTGCTTAAGGCTAGGCTGGGGGTGGACAAAATAGACAATAGCCACTCAACTTGTTTACAAAGCAAATTAAAAAATACAATAGCTCTGAAGAACAAATGAAAAAAATCAGAAGATGAGTTGTATAGTTTTTTTTTTTTTTTTTAAGATTTATTTTATTTTTGAGAGAGCGAGAATGAGAGAGAGAGTACATGAGAGGGAGGAGGGTCAGAGGGAGAAGCAGACTCCCTGCCGAGCAGGGAGCCCGATGCGGGACTCAATCCCGGGACTCCAAGATCATGACCTGAGCAGAAGGCAGTCGCTCAACCAACTGAGCCACCCAGGTGCCCGAGTTGTATAGTTTTTAAAGAACAATGCTTACGTCTAGAAAGCATCCTTTGTTTTTCAAACTTAAAGTGCACGGATTTATTTTCTTACCAATGCATCGATATTTATGGTACTTACGGATATTCCAGGTACTGAAATATAATTGATTTAGGAATTTTGTTGGTCTTGCAAGTGTCCAAGTAAGCACATGGGCACCCACGTGTATGTGCACACACAGACACACAGACACACACTATATATATATGTATATAAATATTAAAAATATAAACAAGTAACCTTAGACTCTATATTTGTTAGGTGAGAAAGGTTTTAATCTACCCCTAGGTGAAACTTAAAAAGAAAGACTCGAGAATGCCGCTAACGCACCAACCATATGAATGCAAATGGAGAATTTCAACCAAATGTTAACGTATTATTCTGTAACACAAACACCTTGTACTACTTGCATAATGGCCTGAACGTCTCCAATATTTTACATAATTCTGTATACTGTCCTAGCAGAGTAGAAGACAAAGGACACTAAGAAGTTGCTCACAAAAGGACTTCCTTCTTGGTTTCCTACAGCTACTACTATGAAAAAACACAAGTTTTTCCCAAGCAATGAAAACCTTTTGAAGAGAGGAAAAAAGTGGACTGCAGGTTTAAACCTGGTAATGACCTTGGTTTTCAACCTTGTTTAAAATATACCATCAGGCCTTCTGGTGGCTTGTGAGCCCCTGGCGTTTCTGGTAGGTGTTAGGGTACTGGATGGAAGGTTGGCTCAAGTCTTCAAAAACCAACACATTTCCATTTCTATTTCAGAGCAGTTAATATACAATTACATATGTTTTACACACACACACACACATTTTTTCATTTCAAAATGAAGTGGTTTGAGACCTTTCAAGCACATACAGAGAAAGCAGTGGGTGGAGACCATTTGATGGCATTCACCAACTCGATTTCCTAGTTGGCTTATCTCATAATTGACCATTGCTAGCAATCAGGATGGTTTTTGACCATTTGACAGTTTTCTATTACTTTTATTCTCCTCCGTATATTGTTTAACTCCTACCTTTTATATCTGGTGCTTTAAAGACAAGAAACAACAAAAAAAATGGATTTTAAAATACAAGCTAGTGAGGAGCTTTACAATGGCAATAATTCTAAAAATTCACCTCAAGATACTGTTCGCCAGATTCTGAAGTTATATTTGTCTGATCAAAATTCTTATATCACATATCAAGATGTCTCTAATACATGAAAAATAATTAAAAAGTAAATATGGTGGCCACTGTATCCAAATTGGCTTTTTAAAAATTGCCAATGATTTGATATCTTTTATTTACATATGTGCATAATTCTGAAAATAAGCCAATTGGTTATTTTAAATGCAAACCAAATAGTCATGAAAACAGTTTTTATCTTTTTTGACATGATAAGATACAATGATATTTCAATTTTCATTTTTTTCTTTTTCTTAAGATTTTATTTATTTATTTAAGAGGGAGAGAGAGCACTCATGAGTTGGGGGGGGCGGGGCAGAGGGAGAGGGAGAAGCATACTCCCCTCTGAGCAGGCAGCCCAATGCTGAGCCAATCCCAGGACCCTGAGATCATGACCTGAGCTGAGTCAGACGCTTAACTGACTGAGCCACCAGGCACCCCTCAATTTTCTTTTTAATATAAATTCTATCCTCAAACCAGACACATTCTTAAACTTGTTTACCAAGAAATCTGCTTTCTCCTCCACGAGCAATTTAAAGTGAAATTAAATAGCGTGTGTCTGCAATCCAATGGAAAAAATGAAAAGTTATCATATGTAATAAATACATATGAATAATATTAAAGACCATATTTAAAATGAACTTGGTAATAAATTTTTAATAATATGATCATCTATAATAAAGTATTTTACTTAACTATCTTTCTTTATCATGCCACACAAGAAAATGTCAGGATGATTAAGGGAGTTTGCAAAATTATGTGTTTTAAGTGCAAAGAATTTGGAGTGAAAGGATAGGACCATGAGGATAATCACTGTAATCTGTCACCTGGACCACTTTTATCTCTCAAAAGACTTATATGAATAAAAATGTGTATTATTAGCAAAATAAATCTTACCCCTTACTGTCCCTCAGGAATTACGCTCCAGTTCGACCACAGAGGAAATAAATTTTATATTTCACCCATTTTGAGATGCCCACTCTCTGCTAAATAGGATGCACCTTTTAATCAGTAGCGTTTTACCAGGGCCATCAGCCAGGCTGCAGCTGGGACTGTAGGTACCTTTGCACATGTGTGAACATCAAATGCCAGCGTCAGAGATTGCAGAATGGTCGTCAGTGACTTGGAAGAAAGTCTTGCAGACAGGAGAGCTCTTTTTTCTTCCTTCTTTTTTAACTAGGAACCAAACGGTTGTGGAGAGGGAGTGAATCAGACAAGTTTAGTAACATTCTTTAAGCAGGAGTCAAAAGTAGGTTAACTCTACGTAATTGCAAGGTCAGCTTAGGAACCCAGGACCGATGACTCTTAGTTTTCTTATGGATTATTTTAAGAAATGCTGCATCATCAAACTCCTGATATAGAGGATGATCCCATGGATAAAAACAGACATCAAAGAGTCTGAGTCAAATGCTAATGTAAAAAAGTTTTAGGAGTACCCAAACCAATTTATTTCACTTAATGTTCCATTTGTTGCAAGTACAAGTATGATATGTGATAAAATAATCTGTCTAATTAAATTTATAATAGCCCTTTCAATAGCTGTAAAAGGAACATTCTGATTGTGTCATGGTTTAACTTGCAGGAGTTTTTCTTCTTAATATGTTATTTACACTAAGGGTGCCTCTTACAATGAATGATAGCATCTTAGATTCCGTGAAAGAGAGCATTCAATTTGGAGGTTCAGTACTTTTGCCTCTTCTCATAAAATGGATAATGAACTTGAATGAGCTGAAATGTTTGCTATCTTTACTGTGTTCCTAAACGCTGGCTGCATATCATTTTAACTAAAAGCTGCAGACTGTTCTTCTCTTTTTCTTTTTTTCTTTCCCAAGACTTTTAATAGCATGTGGCCCCTGTTTAACCCCCCCAAATATTTACTGGAAGGAGAAATACTAGCGGTTCACTTTCGCATGTATTGTTTCCTTGAACGTGTTGGGCCGACTCTTGTTTCCTTTGCTAGGGGCGCAGGCTGCATCTTTATTGAAATGTTCCAGGGTCAACCTTTGTTTCCTGGGGTTTCCAACATCCTTGAACAGCTGGAGAAGATCTGGGAGGTAAGAGAATAATTCCTCTGAGGAAGAAGAAATACCTACTTTTCTTTTTTTTTTTTTTAAGATTTTATTTATTTATTCGTGAGAGACAGAGCAAGAGAGAAAGGCAGAGGGAGAAGCAGGCTCCCAAGGAGCAGGAAGCCCGATGCGGGACTCGATCCCAGGACCCTGAGATCATGACCAAGCCGAAGGCAGACGCTTAACCATCTGAGCCACCCAGGCGCCCAGAAATACCTACTTTTCAAACTTTGAACCAAATTGGCTTTAGAGACTATGAAGTAGTCCATGTGCTTTGAGATGTTATGCTGTGTATTAAGGCTGTGGAAACTGGGGTATTTGCCGCAGGTATAAACACCCTGAGAATGAAGGCGGGGTCAGGAAACCGCCTGTTGTCTTGTAGCAGCCCCTGAATCCACCTGCTCCCTGTCACGATTTTCTCAACCTCCCAGGCAATTTCTGCCGGTTCTGCGTAAGCACGTCTCTGCCTCACCACCCTCAGCTCTAACTCTATCATATATTTGGCCCTGGGTCCTTGTCAACTGAAGATGAGACACTAAATTTCCACAGAACTCTGATAAAACAAAGGCTTACGGTGTCAGTGTGAGAGAAGCATACTATTTATCATGCTCTTCCAAAACCACATCCCTAGGGTGTGAAGGTGCTTTTCTGTGTGGTTCCCTTTCTTGACTCACTATCCCTACCTCTTTTGAAGATTTTATTTATTTATTTGTCAGAGAGAGAGAGAGAGCAAGCACAAGCAGGGAGAGTGGGAGAAGGAGAAGCAGGCTTCCCGCAGAGCAGGGAGCCCGATGCGGGGCTCGATCCCAGGACCCTGAGCCGAAGGCAGATGCTTAACCACCCGAGCCAGCCAGGCATCCCTATCCCTACCTCTTTTGTACCATGATGTACTTCTTTCTTTCATCTCTTGTAGCTTACGTTCCATGTACTACAGTCATGTGTATATTTTACTTTTTTTGGTGTTTTTTTTTTTCATTGTGGTAAAATATACATAAAATTTACTGTCTAACCATTATTAAGTACATTCACCTTGTTGTGCAGCCATCACCACCATCCAGTTCCAAAACGTTTTCATCACCTGAAGCAGAAGTTCTGTACCCATGAAACATGAACTCCCCATCTTCCTTCCTTCCAGCCCCTGATAAGCTCTCATCAACTCTCTGACTCTATGAATTTGCCTATCCCAGGTATCACATATCAGTGGAATTCTATAGTATTTCTCCTCTGTGTCTGGCTTATTTCACTTATACTTTAAAGTTTCATCCATGTTGTAGTGTGTGTCAAAGTGCTTTAAACTACACTGTTGTTATCCTGGATCCTGCTCCCTTTCAAGTTTGCTTGCTTGCTTCTGGAGCGTTCTTGCTAAGAGCCTCTGATAAGGGGTTTCTTGGGAGATATGGCCAGAGTGGGGGTTTTCTGTGTAGGTGAGGAAATTCATCTTCTCTGGAACTGCTTTACAATTTTGCGGCAGAGACACAGTTTTGTTAACACAACCACAGTTCCAAACTCTGAGGACAAAGTGAGAGCACGTCACTGCATTCAGCGGTGTGTTATCTTTTATACTATTACAGTTCAAGCAGGGTAGAAACTTCAGCATTACAGACCAATCCTGAATTAGTGTTTCATTAAACGTGGTCTACACAGATGAAAATAGGAAAGCTATTTTGGGTTCTATGATATTTGATGTAGGAATTGCCTCTTTGAAAGCAATGGGTCCATTCTACTCTCCTAACGTTTAACCACAACTGTTATTTACATTTATCCTGAGATCTCACTCTTAGGAATGAAGACATAATGAGAAATCCTGAATCTTTATTTTACCATCTTTCTAAAATGCCTCTGTGTGTGTGTGTGTGTGTGTATCTGTGTTTTCATCTGAATAACTGTCACGTCTTTTTGATCAGTTTTTTAGAAATCTAATTCTTGTAATAAGTGTTTTTAGCAAATAATCCCAGATGTAGTTCTAAAACCAGAATAAAATAAACTACACAGACTTTAAATCCATTAATCAAAATGCCTTCGGTTTCCTTTCCAACAAAGGCAGAAAACAGCCCTGCGCAGCCCACTGATTTCAAACATAGCACTCACTATCTGCCTTTTAAAAGCCTTCAGGGAGAGAGTAGATCAACAATTTTTGGTTTTCAGTGTCCCAGACAGTGAAGTGGAGATTTGGTAATTTTCTCAAGTGAAAACGAATTCAATAACTTTCAAATAGAAACTGAGCATCAAATTGCCAAATAAAGGATATTGGATTTTTATTTAAACGTTAAAAATCTCAAGCTTAAAGATTTCAGTATAATACTAAAAAATGTTTGGTATCCATTTTGTTGGCTTTAATTAAACATAATACAAAGTAACCAATAATTCTAGTAACTATCACCTTAGAGAAAATATGGATGTGGTCGCTATTTATTTCCTTTGTTGCTTTTTCTTCATTACCTTTGCTACCTTTTCATTGTGCTTTGCCAGCCGCCAGAAGACATTTGGGTGCATGTGAATCCCTTGTTTACGTGCACATCTGTACAATAGAGAAGATAGTAAATTGAAAAAGAAGAATCAGCTTCCCATCCTCTGGCCCTCTCCCACAAAAGAAGAATTAGTCCAGTTGGTTTTTCAAAATGGATTCCAGGATTCTTAGTGTTCCCTCAGGCTCAGGGTGGTTGACAGGAAAAGCCTATAATCCTCTCAGTAGCTTTTCAGTTTGTTTAGGGAATGGATCAAAGAAAGATTTTCCTGGGTGGCATGATTTTTTTATTGTATGAGAGAAAATAGCACTTCAGTGTCTTTTGTTTGAGGACGATCTTAGCGGGCACCACAAAATGTACCTCTCAGTCAGCATCCTAATCAGCAAGCTGGTAGACATTAAGATTCTGGATTCTGCATTGATTATTATTAGTAACTGTTGGGCAGTTGACTTCCTGCCATAACAATTGGGCTGCCATCTATATCCAGCATTTTGCAGTTATTAGATTCTATAAGAGACGCTTCTAAAAAGAGTTATGTTGAGATATGCTTCTAAGAAGAGTTATATTGTATAGTGGTGTAGTGAAAGCTACTAGTATTTCGCTAATATTTCACAGAAACCATGTTATTCTAGCTCCCAGATATAACTGACATTGGGCTTTTAGGGTTATAGTAAAAGAATGGTAAAATGATGTCTACAAAAGAACTCGAAGTAAATGCACCATTCCAGATTGGAAGTGTTTTGACTTTGTACTCCAAAAGACTTTTATTTTCATATTAATTACAAACTGGAGCTTCCATTTGGTAATCCACAGCATAAGTGAGCTCTCTTTCAAGTGATGCTGTTACTTTTACAGTCCACCAGTTAAAAGCCAAATACTATTTTCCAAGCTGCTGGGCCACCAAGGAAACAAGATGAGATGAATTCGGTAGGAAGGACTAGAGTTAGGTTTGGCATCATTTTTAGCTAAAATTCCACTGTCTAAAGGTCAGTAATCTGAATCCTTTTTAATTTGAGCACATCGGGGAATAGCTGAATGCTCATGCTGAGGCATAATTCAGGCTACGTTCTTTTGTATGTGTGTGTGTATTTCATCTAATGTAAGGCAGAGAGACAGTCACCCCTGCCTCTTTATATCCCCAACTCCCAAAATAACCCCATGTTATATGGTGACCATGCCATAGAGATTTATTGATGAGACTATGACTTTAAGCAAGGCTATATGATCTGCCTCCGAATAACAAGTGAGTTAGTGAAGACACAGGCTCGGGACCTGTATTTGGGTCCTCCTGAGAAACAGAACCAGTAGGATATATAGAGATACATAAGAGGAGATTTATTATGGGAATTGGCTCGTGTGATTATAGAAGCTGAGATCTGCTGTCTGCAAGCCAGAGAACCAGCATAATTCAGTCTGAGGCCAAAGGCCTGAGACCTGAGGGGATGATGGTGTAAGTCCCAGAGTCTGAAGGCCAGAGAACCAGCAGGCCCAATGTCTGAGGGCAGGAGATGGATGTCCCAACTCAAGAAGAGAGACAGGGAATTTGCCCTTCTTCCACCTTTTTGTCCTATATGGGCCCTCAATCAATTGGGTGATGCCCGCCCACACTGGAGAGGGCATATCTCTCTACTCAGTCTACTGATTCAAATACTAATCTCTTCCAGAAACATCCCCATAGACACACCCCAAAATAATATCTTACTAGCTATCTGGGCATCCCTATTCCCAGTCAAGTTGGCACATAAAGTTAACCATCACAGGACTTTAAGAATACACTGCAGTTTTGTCCATGAAGCTACAAACATAGGAAACACTAAAGTTTCTTTCATGTGTGTATCAGCTAGCATAATGTGATGTGTAAAATGAATTCTTCCCTATTCCTCCCGATCTGTCCTTCATGCCTCCCGCCTCATCCTTCTGTCTTTCTTTGGCTTTGTATAGGTGTTGGGAGTCCCTACAGAGGATACCTGGCCTGGAATTTCCAAGCTACCTAACTACAATCCAGGTAATATCTACTTGAGCTTCTGAATGCTCTGAAAATTAGCAATGTGAAGGCATTTGCCACACAGATACGGTGCCCTTCTTTTATTGTTAACTCAACAGTGAAGATAGGTCTAGATGAATTTTTAGATTCATATATTCCTGCTAACCCTTTTACGAGAAGGACACTGAAATAGTTGAGGTTAGATCAGTTCCCCAACTCTGTAAACAGCAGTAGCAAGCTGCATAAGAATTTGGAATGACTATTGCTGTGGACTCCAAATCCATTTCCAAATACTAAATGGCTCAAAAGAATCAAAAGATGGTCTCATTTTTGAGCCCCCCATGACTATTATTGACTTTATTTGCTGGTTATTGTACCTCATAAAATATAAAAAGAAAGCTGATACAACAGAGGGGAAGTAGAGGCTCATTAGGCCTAGGACAGGCCAAGTAAGATGTCTCTAGATTACAGAAGAGTTCATCCATTGTCTCTGGACCTAACACTTGGTCATTCTCATCACCCATTTGTTCCTCCAAGACTGGCTCCTGGGAATGGATTTGGAAGGGTTGGACGTGTTGCCCATGGGGGAAGTCTTTGAGAAATAGTCCCAAGGCCATGTCAGAGAGATCAGATTACCCAGTAGTTACTTCAAGGATGTTGAGCCAGAAGAAGAGAGATAAGCAGTGAGCTACAGGATGAAGCACTGTATCAGAGGCTGGGGAAGCAAGTGATGACCATACCAAAGCTGGACTCTTGCTGGCAGGATTAAAGGGGAGGTAGATGTGTACAGATAAGGACAAGATTGGGGTGATTATGACTCAAGTCAGATTTTCTAGTTCTCATACTGACCCATCACTAAATATGGACTTTCCCCAAATTGTTGTCACTACTAAATTTGGTATGAGATTATCCTAGAAGGGTCTCATGAGAGCAAGAAATTGTAGGAAGATTTAAAAGGCAATTAAAGAGGATAACAAAAGAGATAAGAGGCCAGGGATTTTTTTTTCTTCTTCTTCTTCTTTACTCCCGCATAAAATACTTTTGCTCAAACAGCTATACATAGGGATCAGGCATCTTGAACCCACCAGGATTATGAAAACCCTATAGCAAGCTAAAGTCATCTCAGCTGCCTTATGAAAGATCATATGCATTTCTAAATGGCTTTAGTGTCATTTAAAATAGTTTACCATTTCTAACTATTTTGTTCGAGTGTAGCACCTGAGAAAAATGCCACTTTGGCCATAAGGCTTGGAATAGTGCCTTTTCCTTTTGGTCTGAAACAGAAAAAAGAAGAGGCCACTTGTAGAGACCATGGTCTAGTCTGTAATAGTTTTATCTCCAGCTGTCATGGTTGCTAGGAGAAGCTGGTTCTATTTTCCCACCCTGCCCATCTATACCTCTCCCTACCCACCTTCCTCTCCAAATGAAAATGGAACCCCTCAGCTTCCTACCATGGATGCAAGCAGAAGTTTAGGGTCACAGATGGGCTGTAGAAAACAATTTGGATGGTGTTAATACAAATCTGCCATGGTGAGCATATGCTGTTCCTCCAAACTTCAAACGTTTGGGTTTCAGGTTGGTTCAGGCGAATAAGCAGTGATCCTTAACAGAGAATGCCTTGGTGAGAACAATAATGATAGAAACTTGGTAAAAATACTTCCCTGCCAGATTCTGCACTAAATAAGAAAACTGGGTCCCAATAAAACAGTGAGAAATTTGTTGCATTTTTCATTTTGCTGTCATTTCAAAGTAATGTGCAATTTTTTATTTATGAAGAGAATTCTCCAGGCCCAACATCAATAGCATTCATATTTTGCATTGTTTTTCTAGTAGGGATTTAATTTAATTCAAATAAGTCAAAAAATTTTGAACACCTACTATCTGCCAGGTGCTATATTACGTATTGGGTCTGCACGGACAGATCCAGTACATTCTTCAATGTCTGAGAGTTTGGGTTTGTATTCATTCATCCACACTCTTTCACCAGCTCTCCTTATTGGGGGGGGATGATCATTTGTGAGCCCCGCTTCCATGGGCTTGGGCAGTGTGTAGCTGTGGGCCAAGCTAAGCTTATGAAAGAAAGAGAATTATAACCCTTCCTTAGCTACAAGGAAGATGTCTAACTCTGTATCTGTAAATCTTAAAAGTCCAGCATATCTTCAGCATGAGGTCAGTACTACCGATAACTCAATCATAAGGACTGTGTTTTAAAAGGGACATCATCAGGGCGCCTGGGTGGCTCAGTCGTTAAGCGTCTGCCTTCGGCTCAGGTCATGATCCCAGGGTCCTGGGATTGAGCCCCGCGTCGGGCTCCCTGCTCAGCGGGAAGCCTGCTTCTCCCTCTTCCATTCCCCCCTGCTTGTGTTCCCTCTCTCGCTGTCTCTCTCTCTGTGTCAAAATAAATAAATAAAATCTTCAAAAAAATAAATAAATAAAAGGGCCATCATCTGTGTTCTAGGACCATCCCCTTATGTCGACTGAGAAGTCCCTTTGAACCACTCCCCACCCACCCCCCATCACTGAGCTGCTTCTCCCCAACACTTGAACTCCAGGGATTAAGAGAAAAGAAGAGGGGATGGGAGTCAGAAAAATATCACAGAGGAGAAGAGTAACACCATTCTGGATGAGACTTCCATTGTTTTCCTTTTCATTCAGTAGTAGTAAGAGTTCCCAAACTTTGAATTTAGCCATATACTAATTTGAGGGAGCCAAGAGCTGAAAACTTGTGAAAACCATCCGATGTCCATCGATGCCTACTCTACCCTTTCCCAGACCTTGTCTGGACTATGTCTAGGAGGGGAACACAGTTTCTGTTTGTACAGGCTTAAAAAAACACCTGGCGCTGACCCACCTGGACAGGTTTCTCTGGCCAATTACCTGTTTTCTTGGGGCACTGATGAGCAGGGTTGTAGGTTTTCTAGCCATCAATTCAGACTCTTCTGCCTGATTAAATCTGGGCAAGGGAAAAGAGGTATACAATTTTAGACACTGGGCTTCCTTTCCTTCTCTCTCTCTTTCTTTCTTCCTTCCTTCCTTCCTTCCTTCTTTCCTTCCTTCTTCCTTCCCTCCTACCCCCCACCCCCACTTTAAGCAAGCTGGCTGAGAACTTTGTGTCCTCTACTTCAAAGGGCCAGTTGTCTTATTTTGATGTGGGCAGATTGAGAAGTAGGCTTTGAAAAGTAGGCTTTTTTTTTTGTTTAATCTTTTCTCCTGGGATAGCTTTCAGAGCAATATATCCAAGTGTCAGTAAGGGGGTTCTGACGAGCACAGATTCCCAGACTCTCAGCAGGATCATTCTCTAACAGAAATATAAAAGTGAAATATTAAAAACCCTGGAACGTGAACTCCATCTGCATGGTAGCCAGTGGCTTGCCTGCTTGCACCATGGGAAAAAAAGATCTTGAAAAAAGAGGGAGGAGAGAAAAAGTGCTTTGAGTACGAGGTTTACAGGTTTAGTAGAGCATAGTAACATCCCCTCAAAGAAGTGGGTGTTGCTCTGTGACCCCCCAAAATGCTCTGCCTTTGACTCAGCCGCCAGAACACTCACCCTCCCCCGGCAAAACACCCCCTTTTCACATGCTAACTGAGGCGCCTGTGATTGGCTGAACAATAAACTGGTCACACTTGCTAAAGGCCTGCCATCTCTCACACAATTAGCCAAGACACATTAATCAAACTGGCGGTGAACTGGGGCTGTGCTGGCCTCTGGGGGAGAGGGGGTTGTCAGCGTGCGTTTTGGTGATCCTTAATAAGAGTCCATAGGAAGCAATAATAAAGAGCAACATGCTGGAGGGGATTCTACTGTCAGAAAGTCTGAAAAGGTTAAAGCCCCAGTTCATGTCATATCTGGGATGTACTAGGTTTATGGCAGAGAGGATCCCAGAAGCTTAAAGCAGACTGGATATTGGTCTTGGCTAAAATCTGCTCATACAAGACAGTAGTGTGAATTTAAAGGGTAGATCCCTATAGACAATTTTACAAAGTTCCCTGGCCCTCTGAGCTTCCTCTCCTGCCTCCCTCCTCCCCAAAAATGCACTCAGGAGTCCCTCCCCTTTTGAGCCTCAAGCACTTCAAATCCAACTAAAACCAACAGGAATAAAGCATGTATAAGAAGTGGAGAACCATTTAGAATCAATTAAGAGAAAGTATTAACTGGCAGGGTGTTGGTCCTAAAGTAAGTATTTGGAGGACATAAAAAAAGAGTTAATTTTGAAAGAGAAAAAAAAATAAGCTAACATTCGTACTTTCAGTGGTAATATCTTCCTTCTTTTCTTTTCCAAATTCCCTTTAAATAGATTTTCCAATGGCAATATAGAGCTAATAAGATCATACCTTAGAGACCAGTTTGCAACAGAATCATGTAAGGCTTTTAGGAGCACCAACTAAATATTTAGACGTTTCTCAGTGAATGTAAACGGAGCCCTTATTCCTCTGGAGGTTGTCCAGTCACCATCTCATTAGATGCAAAGATCCTGTGATAAAGAAAAACTTTTTTTTTTGTGCCCACATGATTGCAGCCCAGTTGTGGTTTTTAATGTGTCATTGATTGTTTCATCCAACTCCTTTTGCTCCAATGAAAGGGTCTGCCGTGGCTCTGTTTGCTTCCTTAAACATGGGTTTTGAAAGCGCTCATGCTGTGTGAGCTCAAATCGTAGCATTAATGTACTGCTGGGTTCATTTCACTACACTCAAAAGCACTGAGTTTAAATCCCTCTCAATTCCATTTGAGGCACCAGAAGACTTTATCCTTCTCCACTAATGGTTCCAAGTTTACATCTAGATACTGGGGGTCAAGGACAGGAGAGGATTTAGAAATAACAGTGCATGACATTAGTCAATGCATTTGCCAAATTGGCAATTAGTTCCTGATGTGCGTGCAAAGCATTTTATTCCTGTCTCTTTGATGCTTGTTCCCATTGAGAAGGGAATAGAGTCCACAGAGGCCTTCAAACTTTTAAAGAAATATCTGCTGAAAATCATGCCTGATTTGTGACATGAGCTCAGCTGCAGGGAAGCATCCG